TTTTTCATATATTTAAAATTAACCATAGTGTATGATGTGGATGTGTTTTTCTCCACATTGATATTTGTTTTTTCTGACAATATTTTTTAAATACTGATTTTTCTCCACTTACAAGTACGTTTTTGGTTTGATCATTATTTGGTATTTCTAGTTTCATAGGTCTTTTTTTCTTTTATTGTGGAAAAATATACTTAACAAAAATTGTTGTAACCATTTTTCAAGTGTGTTATCCAGTGGCATTAAGTACTTTCACAATGTTGTGCAGCCATCACCAGTAGCCTATGGTCTCTTTACTTGATGCATTTGTACTAAACCTGAAACATGATTGCTGTTGTCCTCTGGCAAATTGTTTACATCTCTTCATCTCAGTCGCCCTGTCCATAGAATGAGGGTGGTGCTTCTTGTCTTTTAGGAGAGTTGTGGAGGTAAAATTAGGTAAGAAACTAATGTAAAAATACTTGGTGTATTATAAATGCTTGATCAATGATCTCTCTATCCTTCCCACTATAATTGTTTTTAAAGACTGGCATAGGGAAAATATCCCCAATTGCCTCTATTTGTTCTCCTCTCCTCCAAGATATTCAGTTATTTTTGTCTAATTTTCAGTAAGAAATTTGTAGGTATGGGAATAAACTTTTGTTCTTATTCGAAAGCTAATATGTATGTTCTGTAGATTATGAAGCCCAAATTACTAATTAGTATCATCTGCACCAACACATACTGCTAATAAGCACCGTTTTGCAAGAGAGCACAAAAATTATGTTTTGAAACCATTTTCCTGACATCTTTCTGATTTTGCCTTAAAGCCTCTAGTTTATAAATTAGATTTATTTTGAAGAGATGCCTTTAGGCTGTATGTTTGGTACTCTGGATGTTAGGACACTTGTTTCTGAATTCCTTTGTAGATTCCGTTTAGAATAGATGAGTTATTGTTGAATAACAATACTTGAGGCAGTCGTCTTAAAGCCATTTGAAGAGGGTAATTTTGCCTTTTGTTTTCATTATTTGAAGACACCTTGCTAAACATTTGCTAATTATTTCTTTTAAATACGGAAGTAACCCACATATTAATAAAAATCTTAAGTGGTTATAGACCACTGTTTTATAGTTTTTAGGATACTATTATTTATCACTGTTATATGAGATATAATTACTTTTGGGAAGGATGCTGTTAATTTTCTCCAGGGAAACTTCTGTAGCATTTTCTTTGGTGTGCTCTGAAAATTTATATATTAGGTTCTGGAAGGGGTAGTAAATGGACTTCTAAAATACAGTATAGTGAATGATCCAGTTTATGAGCTACTTGTTTTCTGTTTAGAACTGTATCAGAGATATTTAGTAACTCCTGAATAATTCTGTGCACGCTTAGCTGCATGCAAGTTCCCCTTCTAGGACCTCTCTTCAGGCTGTTTTGCTCTATTTAGACATTTCTCTTGACGTTATAATTGAGTGATATACACTTTGTTTTCACTGAAAAAAAATTGACCTTTATACTGTGCTTTTAAATATTTATGTATATAATTTAAAATTTCCTTTTCAATATTTAAGAGCTCTAATTACATATTGAAGTAACCTAAGTTCTTGCTTGTGGCCATTTACAACTATAGGGTAAAGAATATGTTGAATTTGATACAAAACAAATTATGAAGTTGGAATTGTTAGAAATTTGAAATAAAATATTTGTTACTAATGATTTCCCTTTGAACTTCTAAGGATTAAAAATTGTGGCTGCCATATTACAGAAATATCTTTTATTTATGAGCATGTGAAGTCACAATATTTAAAATTGTATGATCTTTTTGACCCAAATCAACGTTCTATTATTTTTTTGTCAGCATTTGCAGGTAGGGTAGTACTATTCTGTTCTCAGTTGTAGATTTTTTCCAGGTTTCTGTCTGTGAGGACATAAAGATACTAACAAACACCAAAAAAGGGGAACAAAACAGCTGTATTTAGAAACCAGTTATAAAAACTGAATCTAGAAAATTATTAAAAGACATTACTTATCCAAGTGCCTTATATGTGCTGAAAACAAAAAATGAATTCAGAGACTGTTTTGTAATTTCACCGGCTATTGGCTAAGTTATAATTATACTAATATCACTGTGCCTGTGTTACATAACACTTTATCTGGTTGCTAGTAAACTTAACTTTCAATTGTAAGCACGTGCCACTGTAGAAAATGGTGTGAGATCTTAATATTAAAAGTTGTAGTACCTGAGTCAACAAATATTTAATGTCTGATGTGCAAATAACTAGGTAAATTTCTGTATCCTCCCCCAAATTTTGTTTTTTAAGTTTAATGTGGAATTTCTTCACTCTTCACACTTTCATTATACCAAGGTCACCTTTATACCTATTTTTAAAAAAAGTAGCATATCAATACATGCTAGAAACATGGTAAAGACTTGCATTTTTGTATTTAGTATGTTCTTATGTTTCAGGTCTTAACATAATTTTTTGGAAGTAAGGACAAATATATTGATGGAAAGTGTTTTAGATGCATGTTGTGATGGAATTATGTGATTTATGTCATTATTACTATATTTTCTGTACAGATGTACCAGAGTGTGTGTGCATACTTCATACACATCACAGATAGCAAGTAGAATCCCAGAAGATTCTGTAATAAATCATATGCTTTGCTTGTAGAATGCTTTTTTGTTGTTGTTTTAAAAAAGGGTTTTTTTCTAACTATAGAAATTATCTGTACCCCTCTAATTCCCCTAAATTTAAAAGGTGAGAAAATAAAGGTAATTTTTAAAGACAGAAACAACAAAGGAGACTTATTTGTATAGAAGCAATGGGACAGGTAGAAAGGAATATCTTCTAGTTGTTCTCTTAAAGAAGGTTTTATTGCTACTTAGTCATAAAATTTATCTCAAGAAAAATAGAAAATTAGTCCACTTCCATTAAAAAAATCACCGTAGTATCACCATATTTCTAAAAAGCAAAATTCAAGATTTTAACATTTCATTTTATATAGCTTGAAAAATTTATTTCCCCACTATTAAGAGTACTAGTTCTTGCCTTTTAAAACCCATAACCCCTTTTGATTAATAAAATCTGTATGTTCATATTTTTAAAATAAGTTAGTTTTTGTGCTTAAAAACAAAATTAAAGTTATGTTTTTGAGTATCCTTTTTTAAAAAACAAAATTTTTCTAACTTTCCTCTTGCCCAGAGATAGGTTTTATAACCCGTTCCCTATGAGAAGGGAAACCCATCCTTCTCCCTTGCCGACAATCTACCAATTAAAGATTGCAGCTAATGTAGTTATGGCCTTCAATTAAGGAAAACATGGGATATTATCACTTTTTGTTTAGATGAGAGCTGATCACACAAAAATTCAACAAATGAGGTGTTAAAGGCATTACATTTCCTTGATGATTTGGCTCTAGTTTTGCTCTTTCTTACGGGATGAAATTATAGATGTACATTATGTTCATTTAGGCAGTATTAAAATCCCATGATGTAAAGAAAAAACATTTCAATTTAAAACTAAGATAGATCTAAGTTGGTGAAACATAAAATGTTTCATCTTTCGTAATTGTGAGTCATTTGCACGTCACATTGATTATGCTGTTCTGGGTAGAGCAAAACAAAGTGCAGGGAAGATAGTGCCTGTGAGCGTTAGTAACTGCGTGCTGTAATTCTGCAGCACCAGTTACCTACGTCAGGTAGTATGAGAACTTAGCTTTTGAGGCTCCGTGTATGAGCTGCACGTGAGTGCATTGAGGATCCAGTGCTTCTGACGTTGAAACTTTTTTTTCTTTTGACATTCTAGATCTGGGCAGGGAGTAAAGCTGTGTCAGAGTTGGACATTTTTGAATCTGCCTTCCTTAACACATGTTTTCTCTCCTTTTCCCATCTGGAGTGCAGCTCTAAAAGTGTGTTTCACCAAGATAGAGCAATAGAAGTGGTGGTATCTTGGTATAACTGAAATTTGTTATTTTTCTTGTCATGTTTATCTATTCTTATTACTTCTGCAATAGGAGTCTTTACTACTTTAGCTTTATATACTAAGTTGGTCACAGTGGTTGGGAGAAGTGAAAACAGGTGTGACCTTGATGAAACGCATAAGCGATCACATCTGTTTTGGAGAAGTGCTAGTTTCATTTTGTTAAAGAGTCATGGAGTTTTTCTTTTTTATAATGTATTTAAGTATTCTAATGTCTGTAGAAAATGTCAGACACAATAAGGTGTTCTTACCAGTAAATGTGGGGCTTAGAGTCCTTTTTTTTTTTTGGTTAGTTTGAAAATCAAGACAGGGTATAAGAGCAGGATATAAGGAGGTAAAGATTTTTTTGAAATAATTGATTAGGCAATACGTTAAGTGGAGCTCATTATTTCAAACTAAGATTGGGCCCCAGCTTTACATGGCTATTTTTCCTTAATTCAAAGTTTTATTTATTTGCATTATTAAGGTAGATCCATAGCATTGAGTTTTCCTTGAAATTAATTATATGTATAGATAGTTGTTGACAATGTATTTAATTGATATTCCAATTTGTTATATTTAAAGTCATTCTGTGTGTCTGTGTTAACAGTTATGTAAATGTTCCACATGAAAGCAGGTTAGATGTTATCATCATTTACTGACTTGCTAGGCTAGTTTTTATCATTAAAAAATGTAACTCCACTCCTCAAAAAATTGTTCTGGTTGTCAGCACATGGCTGTTAACTTTAATGTAATGTTATTACATTAAACATTTTACAATGTTTAATATAATAAGCACTATAGTAACCCTGTTTTAGGTACAGCTGAAGTGGTTCCACGTGTTGGCTTTTGCAAGGTATTATGAACACCACTGTGTACGCCTGTTTTGACTTAGTGCAGCATGTCAATTTTGAAAAGCCACGTGCGGGTTTGAGATTTTGAGATTGGAACTCACGTGGAAAGCTTGGGGTAGCAAAATATTTAAAAAATAATTTGCTGATGGCCTGAATGATAATGCTTTAAGGTACATAAAGCTTTGAATCCCCCTCTTTTTTAAACAGACTGTGAAGACTGCTGAGAGACACTTAGGACCCAGTCACATAAGTGTAATAAAGAAATATTGGTCCTCATGGAGGAAGAGCAAGATTTACCAGAGCAACCAGTGAGTATTTCCTTTACCAGTTTAACGTTGATTGTAGGAAAGTTCAATTTAAGAGATTCTAAATATTATTCAGTTATACTGCAGATTCCAAATGAGAAAAATAAGGAAAAGACTCCTTAATACTTTCCTTCTAAGAAAATAATTTATGTTCTTAAATGCATATTTTGCTAACAGTACTAAAGAGTCTGCTTTGAAAATTCAGCATTACAAAGTTAATACTGTATTTGGAAAAGTCATTAAAAAAATCAATGGATATTTCCTTTTAGAACACTTGCTGGGTCTGGTTGGCGGCCTGGGGAGGTGCTGGGGAGGGCAGAGCAGGCGGTCGGTGCTGTGGGTCTCAATCAGATGTGGGGCAGACCAGGCAAAAAAGAAAGAAAAAAAAAGCAATGGCTATTCTTACAGGTTTTAGAAAATAAAAGAGGATATGTATTTACCAAACAGTATACACCACTTCTGACTGGGAATTTAGTTTTATCTTGACCTAAATTTTCCTAACCAATCTAACTTGTAGGAGTTGAAGACAGTATAATCTGACCACTAGCTAATTCTTAAAATGATAACATCCTAGAGACTAGGTTAAATTCTTGATTTCTTTTAAATATTTAGTATAAATAAACAAAATCATTTTCAATGTCCACAAGTCATATGGATTTATTGCCTTGCATGACTTCTTCGTGTGTTTTTTTTTTTGTCTGTTTTTGGAACTGCAGCATTTAAAAAAGGAAAGCAATAATAATCATTCTCTTAAGATACTTATATGTTAAAGAATCTTTTCCTTTTGTCTTGAGTTTCTTTTTTTGGAGTCAGATAAATACTGATTCAGTTTGCATCCTGAGTGAGCCTCTTGGATTTCATAGCAAAAGAGAATAGAGTGGCACACATTTACCTTTCTTTATGAAAATCCAACTTAGAAAAATTTAAATTTTGAAAGCAGGTACTAGGGTATGATTTTTATGTACTAGATGTATTATTTACGTTATAGAAGCTTCCATTCCATAGACACCAGCTTCCATTTAATTATTATATTAAAGTCCTTTAATAAGTTTTTAATATTTTTCTCTATGTTGAGGCATGTATACTGATGATTACCATATTTTGCTGCATGTAACATGCTCACTGCTATAACACATACTCACGGTTTTGTGCACATTATACACGGGATTGTTACACCCAAGTAGTCATTATCCCCGTGTATAATGCACATCCTTATTTTTCCCTCAAAAATTTAGGCAAAATGCACATTATACACAGCAAAATACGGTACTTTGCCATTATTTTTTTTAGCCCTCTCACTTAAGCCTAAAACTTGGAAGGCATGAGCAACTGGTAAAACAACCTTTTGAAACATTTGGAATGTCATTGCCTAGCCCTAGTAAGACGTTAATAATCAGGGAATTGTAAGGTCGAAAATCATCCTCACCAGTGCTGTGTGCTAGAAGGACAAATAGCTGAATTAGAGGCACTAAATGTACCAATGAAAATTATGTTATTGAGTTTTTAATGTAATAAAAGGTCTAATTGTAGTTTCAAAAGACTTATATAAGTTGTTGAAATGAGTATTGTTGTGAGTTACTCCTTGCCTATTTAAGGTCATGAGAATTGTGAGGCTGGCCTGCTGGTGGATCATGTTTTCTGCTCTGTTTCATTTCCTTGCCATTTTTACTCACTTTCTGTAACATAACATATAAAACCTGATTTTACTTCAGAGGAAGGTAAGCAATTAAAGCACTTTAAAAACAAATTTTCCGCTGACTGTAAATGGTGATTGTCTTGGGGCATCATTTTCTTATTGATTTGTGCCTGGGTCTTAATTTATAAAGGTGACTGAGGAACAACACTGAGAGTTCAGTGCCCTTTGAAGGGAACGTTGAATGTTACTCACAGTTCCCTTAGGAACTAGAGGCATGGCATGCCACGCAGGGCCCCTGGGGAGACTGGCGTGAGAGGGAAGCACCAGTTTTGATTAGGAGGCAGAAAGGAGGTAGGGGAATGCCTAGATTGGGCTACTTTTATCGGGGTTTCTGCAAGCATGGCAACGCAAGGCAAAGCAGGGTAAACAGTTTAGGATTGGCTAGCTTGAATAATTCCAGGGACTTTGGTGTATAGGGGCTGTCACTAAGTGTCTGGTATCCATCTGGTCCTGAGTTGATTTAGAGCAAGGGACATATTGATCTGGTATGTATGAGTTAGATAAAGGAGGTGGTTCAGAGTATGGGCTCAGAGGAGATATAAACAATTTTTGGCTCTGTGATTAATGGATGCTAAATAAATTCTTCATTCTAAAAAACAAAGAACACTTGCTGTTAAAAATAAATAGGAGACTTAATGTCAGACTTTGAGGAGAATAAGTTTTACAGGCCATAGTGGAAATTGAAAATTTGAGTCGAAAGAATGCTCCTATACTACGTTGATGATAATAAAGCTAAGATTTTTAACCCTACTGTTTACCTGTATGTAGAAGAGATGTTATTGTTGGGGATCTCTTGCCTTTTTCTTACTGGATTACCCTGCTTTTGTTTCTCTATTTCTTATTTGCTCTATCTTAAGATTTAAGATTTGTTCAGGTCATTGTAAATAATACAACATAAATCCTAGCCACAAGGTTCTATTTTTCACTTTCCCTTATTGCCAGTCAGTCCTCCATTTTCTGTAATCAGAAATGGTTTTTTCTCTGTGGTCACTATTTACCTGCGCCAGTGTTTTTCTCCCAGTTTTCACATTTTTTTTAACTGCTCTGAAACAGCTCCTGTTATTGTCCAAACAGGAACTCTTTTAAAGAGTGAAAGAGTGCACTAACCAGACTCAGTTTGGGATAAGAGGTATAATCCAAGACTATTTCTGGCAAACTGGAAAACTTAAAAAACTCCTTTGTGGCTATCAGGAGTTCTCTCTGAACTCCAGTTTTGAAAGGACATTATATGCAGAGAAAAAAAATTGAGAATATATATATCAAACTCAATATTCAAAACTCATCATTTTATTTATTATTTTTATTTATCCATTCATCTGTTCATAGATACTGGGGTTGTTTTCACTCTTTGGCTATTTTGAGTAATGCTTTTACGAACATTCATGTGCATTCCTGTTTTTGTGTGGACATATGTTTTCATTTCTCTTGGTTATACAGCTAGGAGTAGAATTGCTAGAATATATGGTAACTCTATGTTTAACCTTTTGAGGAACTAGTACTAAAGTAGCTGTACTGTTTTATATTCTGTCAGTTTCTGGATTATATTGTTTGAACCTGTACTTTTGTAATCCAGTGAAATGTATTTGTATCCTTTTTAGTTTAACTGGCTCTGGTGCCAAGGTAGTACATGCTTCCTATTCCTGATTTACATGGGGACATGATTACCCAAATCAAGACAAATAAGAAGCTCTGAAAGGTGAAAAATTAGCCCTAGATGGTGTGGCTCAGTGGATTGAGTGCCAGCCTGCAAACCAAAGGGTTGCCAGTTCAATTCCCAGTCAGGGCACATGCCTGGCTTGCAGACCATGTCCCCAGTAGGAGGTGCTCTAGAGGCAACCACATATTGATGTTTCTGTCCCTTTCTTTCTCCTTCCCTTTCCCTCTCTCTAAAATAAATAAATAAAATCTTTAAAAAGAAAAGAAAAGGAAGGTAAAAAATTAGCTGATAAAACATTTTCCTCTCCTAGTCTTTTTGTTTGGTAGGACTTCAGGTATATTTTCTTATTTTTGTTTATGGGTACCTTTTATTAAACTGAGTTGGCACTGTAATAAAAAAGTGAAAAGGCATGGTTTTTACTTGAAACGCCTTTATATTATGTTTTAAAATTTTGCTCTAAGACAGACTTTTTTTTAGTTGATTAGCTAGAGTGTTCTGTGGTTCAACTAAAATTAAGACCAACATAAAATAGATTCTTCAATCTAGAGTTTTCTTTGTATTGATTACTGTTTAAAGACTAGAGACTATTTTTGGTTACTAAACCACCAGCTCAGAAATTACATTTCTTTGATCACAAAGAGGGTCTTTGGGTGAGCTAAGCATAAATTCATCCCCATTATTGGAAAATTACATTATTATTTGGCATGTAAATACTGTCATCTTCAAGTGGGAAGGGTAGCACATTTTATAACACAAGCCTGCATTTTGTCATTTGTGAAATTATGGAGGGCATATAGTTTAATTTTTCTTCTATTTAGCCTTGCAGTTTCCAACCTTATTAAGTCAGCCTAGCCCTGGCTGGTGTGTCTCAGTGGATTGGCCTGTGAACCGAAAGGTTGTAGATTCGATTCCCAGTCAGGGCACATTCCTGGTTGAGGGCCAGGTCCCCAGTTGGGGGTGTGCAGGAGGCAACCAATTCATGTATCTCTCACACATTGATGATTCTCTTTCCTTCCCTTCCCCTCTCTCTAAAAATAAATAAATAAAATATTTTTTAAGGCTGTTGGGGAGGGGGAGGGGCAGGATGGGGGGAAAGGTACAAGGAACAAAAAGCATAAATTATAGATACAATATAGACAGAGGGAGTTAAGAATAGTATGGGAAATGGAGAAGCCGAAGAACTTACATGTACAACCCATGGACATGAACTAAGGGGGAGAAATGTTGGGGGGAGGGAGGGTGCTGGGAGGAGGGGAATAAAGGAGAGGAAAAAAATTGGGACAATGTAATAGCATAATGAATAAAATACATATTTTTTAAAAAGTCAGCTCATTTTTCTCCTACCCCTTTCAGTGAAGTCATGTTGTATGTTTGTTAAATTCCTTTGTCGCAGTCTGTGTATCAGCCTGGGGTCCCTTGACTGCCTGGTTGGCTTGAGGTATTTTTTATTATATAGAAGTTTTGAATTTTTGTATATTCAGTGTATTTTCTCCTTTACGACTTTTGAATTCAATATTATGCTTAGTAAAGATTTATTTACCTCAAGTCCGGGCTGGTGTAGCTCAGTGGATTGAGCGCGGGCTGGGAACCAAAGTGTCCCAGGTTCGATTCCCAGCCAGGGTACATGCCTGGGTTGCAGGCCATAACCCCCAGCAACCGCACATTGATGTTCTCTCTCTCTCTCTCTCTCTCTCTCTCTCTCTCTCTCTCTCTCTCTCTATCTCCCTCCCTTCCCTTTCTAAAAAAAAAAAGTAAATAAATAAAATATTAAAAAAAAAAGATTTATTTACCTCAAGTGGTTTTGTTTTTGTTCTTTTCCATTTGCTTCTGTAATTTTGTTTTTAAATTTAGAGGGTTTTTAATGCCCCCTTTTTCTTTATTTTATCTTTATTGGTACCTAAGAAACTTAAAACAACATTAAATGTACATCTATTGAGACACCATAATCAAGGAACCAAAAATGTTTGGTTGTATTTATTATTATATTTTCTTATGAGAAGTAGATGTCCTTGAAAAATTTTATGAGCTTTGTGTTTATTTTGCTTTTATTATTTATGTTGTCTTGAGGAACTACTAGTAGCCCCACTATTTTCCATTCTCTCTGTTTCTGGACTATGTATTTGTAATCTAATGAAATACCAGTACGTCTGTATCCTTTTGAGTTCATTTACCTGCTTCTACTGCCAAGGTAGCACGTGCTCCCTATCCCTGACTTATAGGGGGACCTACAGTTGCCCAAATTAAGGCGCACACTATCCGAAGTGTTAAATGTAATCACATTAAATAGCTATAGTCCCTCCTGTTATGTTTGTTTAAAATAGTTTAGCAGCATTGTTGCCTAGTGTTAGCTTGAAGTACTTTTATGTATTCATAATTTGTATGGCTAAGCATACTAAGCATGCCTCTACTATGACCAGTTATTCTAGCTAGATAGCTCTATCTGATTATTTTGGAACATGAAAGCTGGGAAATCCATTAGCAGTATTAAACATTGATTTTTTTTCATTTGTGGATTAAACTGTTTTAATGTAAATGTTTTTACCTCAGAAGGAATTAGGAAAGATGAAAATTTGGGGGAAAAACAGAATAGTGTGAAGAATATTTTTAAATTACTGGTAACCTAATATGCATTTATCTTCATGTTTTTTTTGTGTGTGTAGGTAATTTAAGTATAAAGACACTTCTGGTACATACATTTTGACTCGATGATATCAAGAGTTCCATATTTGCTGTTTGATGATATAATCATGTATCTGTTAAAATTTAAAACCAACTAGTTTATATTCAAATTTAGATATTTCATCCTGATAAACATTTTATTTTGAGTAAAAATCCTGATAAACATTTTACCTTGAATCTGATAAACATTTTTTTCTTTAAAATTAAAACAAATATCCATGTGATAAACACAATTTATCTCTAACTCAAAAATATAATAAGGGTTAATTAAATAAAGTTAAGCAAGACAAGACAGTTACCCTGAAATTTATTAGCTAATGTTAGCCTGACATTTGAGTAGCTAGATGATTTCAAAAACAGATCACTACATTATTCTTTGTATATTTATTTTTGCAGGTTAAAAAAGCCAAGATGCAGGAATCGGGAGAGCAAACTTTAAGGTATGTAAAGTTGAATTTTTCTTTTAATGATTTACTTATAATTTTTTTCACAGGCTGATGACAGCTCAATTTAGGTTGACTACCCTCTTTATGGTTTTTAACAGCGATCTTTACATTTTGAAATTACTTGGTTTAAAATAAAAGTTCCCTCCAAAAGTTTGTTCTTGAGAAACATAAGTGCTGATTTATTTTTCATTTAATCATTTATTCCACAGTACATACCAAACTCATGTTATCTGTCAGAGCCTGTGATACATGGAGGAGACACTGTGGTGAATATTCTTTAGTCAGATGTAGAGAGTATGAAGTGGAAGAATAAGCGGAAGTAAGGGAAGCGCAAGGGACTGGGCATTAATTACCAAATAGGTATGGGTTGCCCCAGTCATTAGCTCCACTTCCCTTATAGAAAAGGGGCAGCCTCTGTGCACCTCATGCTCTGGCTTCAGCAACACTGTGGGTTTTAGTTTTCCACAGTTCTTACCTCCTGATGTTTGTCCAGCAACCATATGAACCAGTAATTGCATCACCTCTGAACACCTTAATTTCAAGAATCCTACTCTTTTACTACCACACATTATATCCAGCTTCATTTTTTCTACTGCCACACTATCCGTATGTTTTACTACATATTTGCAATTAAATGATATATCATAGTCTTACTATTAACCATTGACCCTTTTCTCAACAAAGACTGCAATATCTTTCTTACCCTGCTTAAATTATAAGATCTGTTACTTTAGTCAGTACCTTACAGATAGCCTTAACTTCCTCCCCTTCTCCTCTGTGTTGTACTTCCCTGGCAAAACCACAACCTTGGTTAAATTCAGCTCTCTGCCTCTTACATACGTATTTCTGAGCACTGAACATTGAGGGAGGGAACAGCACCATGCTGACCAGTCTCTGTTTTCACTCATGATCACATCTCAGGCAGGCACTTAAACACTCTTGGTGGTCCGTCCACCTTCCCTGGTATGTTTTATTTCCACATCTCTAAAATTATCTTTCATCCCTACTTTCCCTTCTCTCAACTGAGGAAAAATTGAACATTCAGAATATGCCAGAGGAAAAAACTTTATTGATATATTATACTCCAGTATTAGAGATTTGTTCAGAAAAGATATGAGAGCTTTAAGCATTTTGGTGCTGTATATATTTTTTTAATGTAAACAAGATTTCTTTGAAGAAAATTCTCTATGTAGAAACTTAGTCTTCGTGTCATCTTTCCAGATATATGGAGCCTCTGGTACAGTGTCCTCCATTTCTCCCTAGAGTGTAGAACAGCAAAGCAGATTTCTTTCTAGGGAACGTGAGTGTAGGAGGGGTGCCTGGACTGGGGAGAGGTTGTGATATAATGGTACTAGCTATAGTTATATTGTACTTACTCTGTTTTTGTCTCTGCTCTAAGTACTTTTTATATATTAACTCATTAATCTCTATAACAACTCTGTGAGGTGGATTCTATTATTACTTCTCCTTGACAGTTGAAGAACTAGGTCACAGAGAAGTTCAGTGACTTGCCTAGAGTCACAAAACTAGATGTGGCAGAGTCACAAGCAGTCTGGCCCTAGAATATGTACTTCTAAAGATTATGCTATACTGGTGGTTGAGGGAATAATTGGAGAGTGGAAAGTAAGGTGGAAAGGAAGAGGAAAGACATTGTGAGGAATGAAAGTTAGTACCATCTCCATTCGAATTTCAGTGAGAATCTCTCGACATTAAAGTGTCTGACACCATGACTTGTCCTCCCAGTTTACATGATTTGTCTTTCGCAGTTTCTCTTACTTCTCCTTATAAGTTAAACAACAACAACAATAAAAGATGTTGCTCAGTCATGGGTATAATAACAAATTAAAATGTATTTATTTTTAATTGGGAGAGAAAAGAAATTCGATGGAATGAGCCATTTTAAGGTTCAGAACCTCTGGAAGCAAGCATGTATAACTTGAAAAAACGTCTCAAGTTATTTTGAGAACCATTGTCTTAAAGTGTTTTTAGGTATTGTGGAATTCTTCTTTTACCACATTGTCTTTAGAGAAAATCTGACTTGCTTGTGACTTAGCTGGAATTTCTGTGATGTAAAAACTGCTGGGGTCTGGGAATATGAGAAAGACCTGTAGAATGCTGAGGGTACTAACCCTGGTCATAGCTCTTCAGGTAGTTGCTAAAGACTAAGAATAAGGATATCATGAAGACTTACTTTGCTCTTTCTTGTGTAGCCTCGGAAGAAGTGGGTTTGATTTACTTACTTTTGGTAATGCAGCACATCAGTCAGGGGCTAATGTATTCATTCTGGTTCTCCCAGTCAAGTAAGCAACCCCGAAGTCGATGATCAGAAACCTGAAACTTCAAGCCTCGCTTCAAACCTTACCATGTCAGAGGAAAGTAAGTACCATGCCCTGTGCATGACAGAAGCAGTGTTTCTACAAACCAGGTGAGGTTGTTCTATAATTGGTTTGAACCGATTGCCTTGTTTGTCCCAGAATGCTCAGAAGCCTTTTCTTTCCTTGTGTGTGTGTTCATACATATAAGTGACTAAATCACATGGAATTCACTCACCCAGGAGTCACACTTGGTGGTTTTATTTTTTGCTTTGATGTTGGATGTTTTAAAGATGAGAGTGCCTTACTCAAAATCAGAAAAGTTTGTGGGTCAACCTCTACTGGCTAACCCAGAAGGCTTGATATTTTTCTATACCTTTGCCAAAACCAAATGGTACCACCTATCAATTCAGGCCAAAAAAGAAAAGTAATCCCCCGAGAGCCCAAGACTCATACGGGGCCCTCAGGCAGAGTCAGCTCAATAAGATATACCACCCTCCACTTACTAACCCTCGCTCTCCTGTAGAACAGTTATATTCATGCATTGCACACATTTTTTTTTTTAAGATTTTATTTTATAGACAGACGGGAAGGGAGGAAGAGAAACATCAATGTGTGGTTACCTCTTGTGTGCCCCCTACTGGGGACCTGGCCCGCAATTCAGGCATGTGCCCTGACTGGGAATTGAACTGGCAACCCTTTGGTTCGAAGGCCAGCACTCAATCCACTGAGCCACACCAGCCACAGCTAGGCCTTGACTCTTTGTAATCCTTTTATAGTTCCCAAGTACTGCAAAGATCAAGGCTCATGCATCTCTAGAAAAGTAAAAATTGGCCTAAGTCTCCTAGGATATTTTGTTAATCTCTTCTAGAATTAACTTAAATCAGAGGAGAAGAAGAGTTTGGGTTTTTGAAAGTGCTTGTCGGCAGAGAAGGAACCATCATGTAGAATTCAAATGGATTTGCATTCTTTGTGATTGACAGTAAGAACTTTAGATTTAATTGAGATTTATTTCAATTCTGTCAAAATGATTATGGATGAATGTGACTTCCATATTTCCAGTCATTATTGTTAGACCTTGAAAAATGGCAATGGATAAGATCTGATATGATAAACTCACAGGTGTTGATTTGTCTCACTGTCAGACCCTCATCTGCTCTTGACCCGAGTTCCCTTTTTGGGTCAGACACTGAGGGAACCCAGCTAGACATAAATTTAATTGGTTCACTCCTAGTCCCTGTTGATAATAGAGCATCCTTTTATAGATGTTGAAAGAAGTTCTCAAACAGTTCAGGAGCCTGGTACAAGCCCTGTGACATAACTCAGTCAACAACATAGGCTGAAGTAGTGCCTAATGAATGGGATTTTGCTGTCTGTCAGACTTGAGTTGAATATTTATAGCATTTATCCAAGATGAAATTGTGAGGGTCAAGCCATCACAGCGGCTATTCCAGAAGGAGTTGAGCTGTGAAAGTCTCTTTACTTGCCAGTTTATCAGAGCATCGCGTCAGTTCCTCAGGTCTGTCTCTGCTCTGCCAAACTTAAAGCTCAGAACTGAAAAAAATAGTACGGAAGTATATTTACATCTTTCCGCTGTTGATTATACACAACAGTAGCAACAATTTTCTAATAAAATTGGATAGTTCCCCTTAAATCTGTCTTCCTGAACGTCATTCACATGGCCAAAGTAGAGAGTAAGCACCCAGAGAATGAGTAGGTTGAAGAAGTATAATGTGGTTTCCCAGATACGGATCATGCTTTTTAAGTTTGCCTATGAGCATAGCTGAGAACTGAGGTTGCTTCATCTTTGATTTTAAATCAGTGAAGGGTAAAGGTAGAGATCAGCTGGTATTAGCCTTCAGCTTTTTCCCATACCCCTCGTTTTCTAGTTTCTTTTACTTTCTAGGAGTCTCCAAATCTGCTATTAGGAGAGTGAGGTATTTTCTAGTACATAATCTTTCTAAATTTCTGATGTCCAAGCTGTATTCTCTAATTTAGTTTGAAAGACTGTACAGTGAGATATGCAATTTTCTCGTTTCGTTTTTGAAGTGTTCTGACTTTTCACCTGGTGATACCTTTCTTTCAGTTATGACGTGCACCGATTACATCCCTCGCTCATCCAATGACTATACCTCACAAATGTATTCTGCAAAGTAAGTTGAATAATTGTTTCGAAATCCATATGCTTTTTCTCTAGGTTCATTGCAAAGTTTAACTTGATATTTAATTTATTAAATTGACATTTAACTTATTTTCACCTCTCTTGTTCTCTCTGTCCCTACTCCAATTTTTTATTCCCTCCAAGTATGGAGTCTGTAAGATCCTTTTAGAAAGTAGGTGGTTGGCCAATATGGGTCACTGTCACCCAGAAACCCGCTCTAAATGAGGAGGCACTGGAAGTGAAAGATGCTCTTAGTGATCAAAGCATATCACTGATTGACCTCTGGTCATTTTCTCCTTCCGTTGCCTTGACAGGTCAATAAAAACAGCTCAAGCCAACCTCATACTAGGACTTCTTGGCCTAATCTCTATTCAGTTTCTTGTTGAATGTCCTCAAAATAGAAGCGGACTTAAAGTTAGACAGGTTTATTAGTGAGTTGAAGTCAGTAAGAGGCATTTTGAACCTTTGAAGGTTAAGACCAGTATTTAAGATTCACCAAGTTCATCATCTCCAGGATGAGTAGGCGCAGAGTAGGCGTAGGTAGGTCACTGATGACAGTGAGCCTACACATACTGTACATAAATACTGGGTTGGCCAAAATGTCTGTTACATTTTTCCATACGATGGCTCTAGTAGCGCTTAGTCGTCTTTAACTTCATTCAAAGCAATTTTGTTAGATTGTATTGTGACACCTGTCATACCAGCATGCATTTACAAAAAACTTACCAAAATTGGTGAATTTCTGTGCAGTCATTTTAATATTGAAGATGGAAGAAAATACGCAACATCTTTGGCATCTTGTGCTTTGTTATTTCAAGGAAGGTAAAAATGCAGCTGAAATGCAAAAACAGATTTGTGCTGTGTATGGAGAAGGTGCTATGACTGAGCATATCAAAAGTGGTTTGTGAAGTTTCTTGATACTATTGACATTTTGGCCAAATAATTATTTGCTGTGGGGCTGTGTTACACATTGGAAGATGTTTAGCAGCACCCCTGGCCTCTGCCCACTAGAAGCCAATATCGGGAGATAGCCGACATACTCAAAATATCCATAAAGTTATTGGTGAAATCAATTAAAAAATCAGTAAAGTTATTGGTGAAAATGAAAAACGTGTCCTTTATTTTACAGAAAAAACCATACAGACTTTTTGGCTAACCCAATACATACAAGTCTGCATATTACACTAGGATACATTCTTAGGTGCCTATATGATGCAGAACATACACAAATTGGTAATAGAGATGAGTGATGCCTGTGGTGCTGTTGTGAAAGAAAATTGGCATTTTCTCCTCTTCTGTGCTCATTTGTACTTTGATTTTGCATCAATTAAAAATTGATGCCTATTTCCAGTTTTTTCCCCCTTGTAATCCATCTTACAAGGCATCGTCAAATAATCTGTATTAAAGAGCAGCTCTGATCTTGTCGCTCTGCTCAGCAATTTCAGCGACTCCCACTTGTTTCTGATTTGTCTGAACTCTTTTAACCGAATATTCAAAGTCTTACATTTTTCTCTCTCACTACTTCCCTTCCCTTTATGTATTTCCCTTAATATAATCTGTAGTTCTTGCAAGCGGTAGCCCTTGCTTTCCTCCGTCTGTACCTTTTCCAGAGTTTTCCTAGAACACCCTTTCTCTCCTGTTCCTGCACATCCTGTGTGCTCAGCTGACACGTCACTTCTTTATTGCCTTCCTCCATTTTCCTCTCCCCCAGACCTGAAAACAGTCTTTTTGCCGTCTGAAACAACCTTTCCCTCCATTATTTAATAATTATTACTTATATGGCACACACATTTTTTCTTGTATTATAAGTGCAGCATAATTCACCATATACTATAACCTGTACCTAAAAATTCAGTGCATAACATGGATGAAATGACCAGGTCATCTAGCTAGCCTAAATTCCCAGAAGTTTCACTGCTGAATTTAAATCCCTAGTTAAACCTGATGTGATTGGCAGCAACTAGTAAAATTATACTCTGGCTTAAATATCATGGGGGAATTCTGAGCCCTGCCTGGGACTTTTCAGATTTTATTAGTTACCTGGCTCCTGCTTTATAGACTTGATCTGGTGATACTGGGGCCCACTCCTACTCCCTGTTTTCTAATGTAGTTACTTGCCTTTTCTCCACCGGCCTCACCCTCTTTCCCAGGCCCCGCTTTCTCTACTATAACTTTAGTTTGGCCTAGAGGGCTGAGTGGAGATTGGGAGCCAGTGGTGAATCCTATTCTGTGCAGTTTTCTGTTATTTTAGGTTTTATTTTACATGTAGACACAAGGGCATAAACAAGTTTAATCCATCCTTGTATCTCACATAGGACCATACACATAGCATATCACAAATGTTGATAGCATAGTAGTTGGACCTTATGAGGAAATTTGAAAATGTTAAATTTTCCATAAAATTGTTTCTTAGGTAGGTTATAGTAGAACCTGGAAAGGAAATATTAGCTCTACTTTCTGACCACAGTAAGACACATTTTGTAGAAGGTTAGTTTCTTCACTGCTGATTTTTTGCATTTAGTGGCATTAGTTATATCTCCTGTTTTTCATTACTGAAATCACACAGGCATGTTTTTGTTGTCTTGAACTTTTCTAGACCTTATGCACACATCCTCTCAGTTCCTGCTTCGGAAACTGCTTATCCTGGTCAGACTCAGTACCAGACACTACAGCAGTCTCAGCCGTATGCTGTCTACCCTCAGGCAACCCAAACGTATGGACTACCTCCTTTCGGTAAGGCATCCTGTTATAAGCAGTTTCTGAGTATGTTGACTTTTATCGCCCAGAAACTTTGACCTTTCCCCAAAAACCAAGCTGATCAGGAAGCAGAGAAATGAGTTGTCCTCTGCAGAGCACCCACTCAGTTACAGGTGGGATAGACGTTGTGCAGGCAGCTTTCCAACAGTATACTTGATGCATGTAATATAAAATCATAATTTTTTCAGTACTCATTTGTCTATCAAAGTTAGCTACTAAAATTTCCAAGGTACTAAGTCTTGACTGTAAGGCTTGGACTCTTCTAACTCATTGTGGGAAAGCTTTGAGAAATTACTATTTATTTTACTTATTTTATACAAAACATGGTACCTTGGTTAGGTAAGCAAAATAAATATATTTTAAGGTGACCAATTTTTTGCTAAAGCCAGGTAATGTCAGTGTCCACATAGAATATGCCTAATGGTGGAGGAAATCTCCAACTTTGTACAAACTTATGTGCATAGAAAGTTTTGTTCTTTGGTTTTAGGTGTCTTGGACATGAACTATAAATTAGAATGATTTACTAAAAGACAGTTTGAGATTCTTTGGACACTTAATATATGCACTGTTTTCTTCATGTATATAAATTGATAGATATATTTAATGTGCTTTATTCCCTCTTCCCTGCTTTCTTAGAAGTGGTGTCAGAAAATTGAGAGAATACTGTATTATTTTAAAACATGCAACATACTAATAAAATTGTATCTCTGTAGCCTTTACTGAAACTATCTGGGATTTAGAAAAATCTTCCAAACAGATCACCACAGATTATGGATGTATTAGTGTTGACTGCTTTTGGTTTCCACATTGCTACTTTTCCTGGCCCATGTCACTAATCCTCTATGATAAGGACACCTCTCTTACTTTGAGGCATTGCTTGGCTCCTGATAACTACTAGAAACAAAAATGGGGGATTATGTTTCGTGATAGTGGTTGTTGGTAACTTCCCGAGAGAAGGGACACAGAGATGCTCATTTCCGCATTTGTACTCCCTGCCTCCATGCCTGTCAGTTTCAGCTGGGATGCCAAAGTCTTACATCTGTGGTATACTAACTAGCCAACTCTCTGTGATTATGTTTGTATTTATTTCTTTTTGTGTATGTTAAAGATGAATTTTCATTAGCTGTCTAACAGTAGGCTAGCAAATGTAAAGTATTTTCACGTTGTTTTTTAACTCTCTGTTTTGATTTAAATTTATTATTAGCAAGCCAAAGCCCTTCATGATATTGTTGATTATTCTTACTGTTCAGCATTAAATAAAACTCCTGTTATATCTTTGAACTCAGCTTATAGAATACCTAACAGCGCCATGTGGGTGTAGGTCCTAGATATTATGGTATCTTTTGTGATCACTATTTCCCTTGTATTAAAGAAAAAAGGAAAATTCTGTAAAATAGATCAATCATTGTTAAAAACTTGAAGGAAACTGTTTATATTGTGAAGAAATAGTGGTTGAAACAGACTTTTATTAATCTGCTTTTGTTTACTATTTGGGCACCAGAGAGACTTGTTTTATAAACTCATCTATGTATAATTCAGAGAGGTAATCATTAGTTTAACTTGACTTTAAATATGAGACTCACTGGAGGGAGATTTAGGTTGGGGTAATATAAATGATATATATAGCGTATTCTCTTATTTGCAGAGGACATTATAAACAGATGTTTGGAATACTGTTTTTAAGACATTTTCTTATGTGTTAACATGGCTTTTTTTAATGTGTTCACCCAAATATAAAACACTTCATTTCTTGTGAAGATTTTGGAAATTTTGACATCTTAATGCTTCCTGTTAGCACTAAAACTAGATTAGCCAATCTGTTATTTTATTTCAGATGTAAACAGGCTTCAGAAAATCTCATTGTGATATTGTCTGATATGTATTGAGTGTTTACTGTACTAAGCAGTATGCTAAGAATAAGTACTTCACACTTTACATTGTCTTACTTAATCCTCTCAAACCTAAGAAGTAAGTAGTAGTGTTACCCCTTTTTATAGATGAGGAAACAGGCTTAGAAGGATTAAGTGACTAGCTGAGGTCATACAATTAGTAAAAATGCCTAGGATTAGAATTAAACCCAGGTCTGTTTAACTTCAGAAGTGCTCATAGTTTAGGTCAGTGACTTTCAACTGGTGTACCACAAGAATTTTTAAAACATGCAGTACCTGACTATTTAGTCAATTGCACCAACCTGTTTTGTCTTAGATTGTCAGATAAATAAATAACAACAGCCAACACAACAATAGCCATCCGATGTGAATGCCCCATATTGAATTGTAAATATGTAGGTCATATAAAAAAGAGTTGCATCTTATTGGTCACATTGCATAAGGTTGCATCTGATTGGTTAATTCCTGGTACCAGAATCCTTGTATACAAGTATGGGCACCTGATTTTTTAAATAGTCACTTTGGAACAAAAATGGTAGGTAATTACTAGTATAATTTATTTTTTGTAACTCAATCAAAATTATACCTATTTTGTCAGATTGGCAAAAAATATAATACATTTTTTTGGTGTGCCACAGAATTTTAGTAATTAGTTTATGTGTGCCATGAGATGGAAAGGGTTGAGAATCAGTGGGTTAGGTCTATATGGTAGTCTCAGAGTTGTTTGAAATTTAAAATCTTCCTCTTGAAGAAAGGAGAAAGACCAGAGGAAATCTAGGAAGTCTATGAGTAATCTTTAAAAGTAAAGGAATAGTGGTCCTATTATTTTTTCAGAGCTATATAGAAATGTGGGATGATAGAAAGAGGATTAGCTGTTTGACTTCCAATGAGACCTGAATGTGTGAGGAAAAGGGTAATTTATTTTACGGGGTTCATAAAAGATTGCCTTAGCTGCCACTGTTCTAACTTCTTTTAAAAGAACTTTATGTGAGATGGAGATTTGACTATATATTAAGAGCCTTAAGGATGGTCATACCATTTCCCTCAGTAATTTCACTTCTAGGAATTTATCCTATGGAACTAGTTAGAGACATCCACAAAATTTTACTGCCTATGATGTTCATTGTATCATTATAATAGCAAAAGATTGGATGCAGTGTACAAAGTCAGTAGAAAAGTATGTGTTCTATTGCAGTGAATCCATAGAATGGAAAACTATGTAGCCATTATAAATCACATTCTTAAAGAATATTTAGCATCTTGAGAAAACAGATTTTTAATTGAAAAAAGTAGTATGTAAAATTTAAAATACAATGTAACATTCCCAGTTTTTTATTTTAATTGTTGTTCAAATATAGTTTTCTGCCTTTTTTCCAGTTATTTTTTTAAGACTAATTTAGAAGAAAAAATGTGAAATTAATAATACAGGTACTATACAGTTTGATCTCAGAACTATGCAAAGCAAAAACTGCCTATATTTTTTTCCATGTGGTGAGACTGAATTTTTTCCTTACACGTATATTTTCCTAATTTTCTATAATATACATTTACTTATTTTATGACTAGGATAAGTAATCAGGGTAAATTACTTAGTATTTATACTAGTTCATACCAGTGAGCTATTAAATCAACGAACCAAGCTATTCTTCCATGTGTTTTTTTTTTCTACTAGCATTAACATGTACTTCAATTCCTAACCAAACTAATCTCTAAAGATCCACTACTCTGATATGTGTTACTATAAACTGAACTGCTCAGATTAGTTTGGTTATTGACTAACCCATAGTGAAACATATTTACGCTCAGAGATGTGGGTAAAGTTTACAGTAAGACCCCAGTGTGGGGCAGCAGGAGGATAGCACTCAGAGACAGACTTCCTTACCCATTGTTAGGCCAACTGTTGCTCCATATAAGACTTTTTGTGCTTAAAATGACCTGAGAAATTTTGTAGTTGGAGGCATAGAGCAGTGGACTAGCAGTAGTCAGGAAAACAGGGTTTGGTTTCATCATTTGCTATGGGCAGTAATAGTGCTCTGCAGAAAAATCATACCATGTATTACTTGGGGTTCTTGGAAGGGTGGTTTTAAAGGAGATGCTTATTAAAGAGCGGGGCTACAGTAACACTGGGTGCAGTGTCCATATTATCTTTTATTTCTCCAGTCTTCATAAAATAATTATATGTTAAATGTCTACTTTGTGTCTGGCCAAACACATTCAGAACTATCTATTCCCCTACTTGTCTTAGATGTTTTGCCTTAATTTTTGACTTTATATAAAGGTCCAGTTTATAGACCCTTTATATTTTGAAACTTTAAAACACTACTAAATAATGAGACTAGCAAAACATTCTCAGTTAATACTATTTTTAATAATAAGATGGCACTTGAGTACAGTGTAGTAATGAGCATGTTCACAAATCCAACACCTCTGGTTCAGGACCTATTTAGAAAAAAATCACATCGATTACAGTTAAATCTGGAAGTTTTGATGACATTGAAATAGAATTTGTTTACTAAAAGTTGTAATACCACCCAGAACCATAGCACTAATATTCAAATTTCACATTGTAAATATTTAAAGAATAACATTCTCAAATATCTTTTTATTGCTGAAAATCAGATATAGTAAGAACTTTGTCTATGACTAACCTGGATGAGATTTTTTAAGTGATCATGAACTGTGATTGTGTCTGGGCCCCGAGGTGGAGGGGCCAATCCTCCTCGTTCATGCTGGAGATGCTGATGTTCCTAAGTCTCCAGTAAGTCATTTCGTGTGTTTAATAGGTGAGAAAAGAATATGGGTTTTTTTCTTTTAATGCTTTGAGTTTGAGTCAAGGCAATTACGATATCCCATTGTCAACCTTTTTAAAATGTCTGCATCTCCCTTTACTATTCTTACATTTACTTTTTGACAAATTTTACAGGTCTGAGTTGTATTAAGATATCTCAGTGCCCTGGTGAAGCAAAGGTTCTTATTATTAAAGCATTGTGTTTCTATAAATTCCTTACCAGATTAGAAGTAAATGAAATGACGTAATGTTGAATTTGAAGCTGCGGCTCATGTTGGTATTGACTTCGTACCTGGAAAGTGATCGATGAACTTCTTGAAACAAATTATCAGTTTCAACTACACTGATCCAGCAACCATAGCTATTCAGAACACAGTGAACAGCCAGTTAGTAAAGTTTTGTGTTTTTTTTAAAACAAGTAGACTTTCCATAGCCAAAATTATCACAAAAGCTGTTCACTCATAAGGGCATCCTTAGGCTGTCATGTAGAAGCAAAGCTTTGTTTATGGCTTCCTAGTTTATTACAAATGAGAAGGAAGATAGATACAGCCAGAGATGGGAGATTATCAAGATGTGACAGATCACAAAGAAAAGACAAAGTGGTACAAGAATCTAAAAATCATAGCAAGTAATTGAGTTCTATTTAGTACTAAGCAAATGTCTTCACATATCACAGTAGCCTCTGTTTCTGTAATACATAGAGCACAGCACAATATGATCTTCTAGCAAAAATTGTGAGAAAATCTAAAGGTGGGCTCACTATTCCCTCCCTGCTGAGAAGGCAGGAAAGGATATAAATATATTTTAGAAAGATTGTCACTCAGGAGCATGGTGATAAAAATAAAGTAAAAGTGAACAGCTATGATGTCTGTCAGTATGAAATAAATTTACATGTTCTGACATGGAAATGTGTCTCTTAGAGGTATGTGGAAAAGCAGATTTTGAAGTGTGTATAATATAGTTTTAACTTTTATTAAAAGTAAGAAAAAAGATTAGTAAATCCATAGAAGAAACCTGAGTGATTCTTACAGAAACTTGATAGTGGCTAAGTCTGGAGGATGGGATTACATATGACTTTGTTTTATCTAAGTTACATATTTCTGTAATGTTTTCAATTTATAAAAATAAGCAGGTGTGTCTTTCTTAATCAGAAGAAACAAAGGTAACAAAATAACCAGCTTAAGAAAGCAGAGAAGTATTTAATACATTTTAGAAAAGGTTGGTGCTTGTTGCATGGGTAAGTGAATTTTAAACTTATGTGGAATGTCTACCACTTTGACAATGCAGATAAGTGATTTATTGCCGTACATGAACATCAGGCACTCTTTACAACAAATACTCTGGTTGGGTCACAGAAGCTCTTTTTTTGAACCCTGGTCAATTTTCCCCAACTACTAAAATGAGTATTTATATATATATATATATCTCACTATTGGGGTTTTGACAACATTTTTGTTTCTATGGCCCCACTCCCCAGTTCTTTGAAATTGTATTTGCTTGTGGTACATAAGTGAGAGAATCTAATATTCTCTTATAAGCAAATTAATTTTTCTATTAAGATTTAGATTTTAAACTACTGGCTGATGTTTGAAGGCATAACCATGCTCCTCAGTCCCAGTGTATTGTTGTAATTGGTCCAATTTATCTGATTCAGGTGCATTGTGGCCAGGTATGAAACCTGAAAGTGGTTTAATTCAGACTCCATCTCCAAGTCAACACAGTGTTCTTACCTGCACTACAGGGTTAACCACAAGCCAGCCAAGCCCAGCACATTATTCTTACCCCATTCAAGGTAAATAGGCATGGATGTGTGTGTTTTTGTTTTTTTTTTTTTTGTATTGTTGTTGGTTTTTGTTTTTAATCTACCTGTATCTCCAGACAAATTGGGTAATAGGAGCTCTGTCTTCTAAAATAGAAGGGGGTGATATGTGCATTTGTGCATGCTTTTCATGTTAGGCACACCAGAACGTGGGAGTATGGTTTGTAAGTAGTTTAACATTTGAATGCGAACTGCTTAGTAGAATTGAAGCCTTTCCTTTTGCATGCTTGGTGTTCAGAAAACCTATCTGTTCTCAGTGGCATTTTGTCCTATAAATGAGCAGAAGACCCCACGGGTTAGAACTTTACTGACTTCTTTTATATGAAGTCCAAATAGAGTAGAATGTGAAATGAGCGCTGCTTTGGAAGGTGTGTGCTGCTTTTCTGCTGCGGTTTTGTCGTACCTCTACCTCTGTTGACCACTTCTTGGGAGAGCGTTTTTTTGCTCACAGAGTTGTCTTGTTTCTATTTCATGATGAAAAGCATAGCATTAAAGCTTGAACTCTATCTAAACATCTCTTCCTTCCCAAGTTCTTTCTCTAAAAGGTTAGAAGTATGATAGGACTATTAGGAATGAAGACCAAGAAACTCAAAAGGCACTATGGAATTAATACCCAACCTCTCCAAATCCAGCGCAGTTTATCATTGATCCAGATTGGGAATTAATGTCCATGTACCTGGCTTCTCGCCTGCCTCCTTTCTCCTGATTTATTCCAGGTTTTAAGTTTTATTACTTATAAAATAGTTGCCCAAGGGATGAGGGCGGGACAGCAAAACCCGGTCTGAGGTACTTTTAAGATACAAACTTTGGTGATGAAAAGTGTTCAATGTAGATTATATTAAATGAAATATTTTGATTTTCAGTTTTGTTTTCAGTTAAATGATTGAAAATTACTTCTGCTTGGTCCATTGAGAACAGAACTGGTCACTGCATTCTAAGACATTGCTATGCGCTACCTTTACTTTCTGTTGTTTACCGAGTCTCCTCTTTCCCTTCTTTCTATTTGTCCCCTCCCCCTTCCTTCTTTCTACAATGAGAACAACCCAGGAGTGAAAAAACCTCAAAGAGCATGACTTTGTCCGTCTTGCCGTCTACCCCCTTTCATTTTTATAAAGTATTTCTCCAGGTTGGTGGGCCTTTTGGGTCCAACTACAGGCAAATGTAGTTGCCAGGTCCCTCTAACGGATACATGGATATATCCTGGATGTCTGCACCTCGGTTGGCTATATCTAGCTCATGAAAAAAAAGCAGAGAGTTCTCTTTTTTTGCATTAATAACTCTTTTCCAAGGTGGAGAACGACCACTTTTCTGTCATTATATCTTGAATTTGAAGAACTTAATAGCTATGCTTACTTCTCCCTCCTTGTAAAACAAGAGGAACCGCCTTTTGAAGGTCTTTTAGAACTCATTGCTTTAAAAGGGCCGTGAAAATATATTTTAAACTCTGTTAACCACTATTCTAACTTAGCTGTTAATACATTTTTCCCCTTTTGATAGATTAACCTGGTTTCCTCACCTTTTGCTAATAATTGTCATTGCTGGTATTTATTAAGTGCTTACTATGTTCTCAGCATTGTTATAAGCAATACATAGGTGTTACTCGTGTACTTCACAACACACCAAGAAGGAAGTACTCTTATTTATTTCAGTTTAAAGAAGGGGAACATAAGACACAGAAAAGCAAAGTGGCTTGTCTAAGGTCAAAAAGTTAATAATGAAGTCAGGATATTAGCCAGGGAGTCTGACCCTAAAGTATGAGTGACTTATGATTGAAAATTTATGATTTTTAATATTAAACTCATGGTATCAATATCAACCCTCCCATAATTAAGAACCTGTAGTGACAAATATCTAAATTCATTTTCTACCCTTTTTCTGGTTAACCTATTGGTCCTATTGTTCATGAGAGCATTGGCAGAGATTTTAAGGCAGAAGTTCACCAAATTGAATGTCAACTGTAATTGAAAATTTTTTTTTTAAAGATTTTATTTATTTTTAGAGATGGAAGGGAGAGAGAGAGAGAGAGAGAGAGAGAGAGAGAGAGAGAGAGAGAAAGAAAGATCAATGTGCGGTTGCTGGGGGTTATGGCCTGCAACCCAGGAATGTACCCTGGCTGGGAATCGAACCTGGGACACTTTAGTTCCCAGCCCGCGCTCAATCCACTGAGCTACACCAGCCAGGGCTTGAAAAATTTTTTAATAAAAAAGGAGTTTACCATTAGTTGCTCAGTTTTTGTTTTTGCCACTTAGTTTGAAGAAAAAAGTGGTAGAAAACAAGTTGAAACAATTGGCTAAAATAAAATGTGGGTATTATTAGCACATTTAAATTACTCGGGTCTCCACTCACTTTCCTCACCCCCGCTTTTTATTTCCTTTAGTGTGGACAATTCATGTTAGCTGTCCAGGGCTTCTTCCTTCCCTGTGTGTGTAGGTACCCAGTCATCCCACAGAGTAAAAACGAGGAGCATGTATTGATTTTTTTTGAAGTGGTCAAAACATCAACATTCCCTTACCCATCATATCAGTCTTTTCCTATACCGTCTGTATGTGGCCCAATCTCTGGTAATTTTCTTTAGTTGAGATGGTTTAAATGATTAATATTCAAATGGCAAAGTTAATTACAGAAATTTCAAACTTAATTTTAACTCAATCTTTACTTTTAATGAATGTCTTTGGGCTCTGATGTTGTTGGTAATATACAATAGTCTTTCAATGACCAGATTGTTTTTTTAATAGACTTTATTTTTTAGATTAGTTTTAGATTTAAAAAACTGAGCACGTGGTGTAGCGTTATATGTATCCCCCCACTCTGCACACAGTTTCCCCTATTACTAACATCTTACATTAGAATGGAACATTTTGTTACAATTAATGAACCAATATTGGTATATGATTATTAATTAAGTCCATAGTTTATTCAGATTTCCTTATTTTTTTACCTTATGTCTTTTTTCTTTCCAGAATCCCATCCATGATACATTTCATTCAATTGTCATGCCTCCTTATTTTCCTCTTGACTGTGTAGTTTTTCAGACTTTTCTTTGTTTTTGATGACCTTGACATGCCATATGTGAATTTTCCAAGTTATACATGTATACAAGATCTAGGTGAATCTCCTAAGTATTTATTGAGCATCACCTCACCTGTAGGCCAGGTGCTTTGCTAGATATTAGAGATAATGAGCAAGATATTAAGATTAAGCTTTCATGGAGTTTACAGACTAGTAGAGGGGATAGGAAACAAGCAAGTAAATAAATAAACAGATCTTGAAAATTGCTCTGAAAGGAATAAAGAATAGATTTCTATTATTGGGAAAACAGTAAATGAGTTAGTTTTAATAGAGGGGTCAGAGAAGGAGGAGGCCCCTTTCATTGAGCAGGGAGGGTGAGAGGGACAGGCCAGGGAGAACAATCCAGGCAGAAGGGTGAGTAGAAACTGAATCTGGACACAACTTTAACGCACCATTAAACCTCCAGCTTTGGGGCAGTGTCACTTAATTCGACTGTTCCTCTCACAGTTCTGTAACCATAGTCATTGATCAGAGAGAGCTCTTCGTTTATTGACTGTGTTAAGTGGACCTCTACTGGGGCATGGTTCTCAAATGAATCGTCTTTCTATGATTTCACAGCTCCATTGTCAAAGCAGGAGTAGAGACTTATCCAAAAACAGTTCCTATGCCATTGGCATTTGGAGAGCTAATAGCCTTTAGTTATATATCAGTAGGAGTTATTAGCTCCATGACTGTGGACAAATTAACTCTTCTTTGTCCCAGATTCTTCATCTAAAAGCTAGTGTTACAGCAGTAACTGTTCCTTATATCTAATTTACCTTAATCTCTTCTACACTTTCTTCTAAGCAGAGTTCCCCTGAAAGGGATAAAAAATTTCCTCTGATTTTGACCAGTTCTCCCAAGTTTCTGCTGCATCGTTCATCTGCCCTATTCTTAGTTAAGGTTTCCTATTAACTTCCCCTCTAGAGGACTTAGTTGCTGATGGGCTAGGTACTAACATAGGCAGGTCTACCCGATGCTGAACCCCCATGGTGTTTGTGGCTGCAGCGGGAACCATGTCTAAATGTGCTTATGAGTGAGTGGGAGGGATTTAAGGCCTCAATCTCGGTTATTGTCCACCTGAGAAACGGTCTCTGTGGCAAATACTTGTCACTTAGGATTTGATTAAAACCCTAGTGGAATCTGTGATTCTTAGAAGGGTATGAAAAACTTAACCCAAATTCCTTATCTCAAGATAGACAGCCTAAATTAACTTACAGGGTATATTTTTACTTGGCCAGAGTAATATTTAGTATTTCCTGAGTTTTTCCAGGCTCATTGGTAAAATCATTAAATGCCAGATCATGGTGTTTGTTGATCCACATTAATAATTCATTCTAATGCATTATTTGAGTAGTGCCCAAGAAGCAACTCCAAGTACTTTAGAATTTGGAGGACCATCTCTCTTTCTCAAAGGAATTATGTCCCTTCAGGAAAAGCATAGGTTGGGGCAAGTGACAATAAATACCGTAGTGTAGCATTTACATGTGGATTTACCAGAGCTCTTGTATTTTCTGCTGATCGTCACTAGGCCACATTGCAGGTGAGTCATTTTTCAACTGCTGGAGAAGATGGACTGTGTTCTGATTTATTGGTAACATTAGTATGAACCAGTGCATGGTGTCTGTATCCTTCTAGGACTTCAGTAGGCATAGTCAAAGACTCAAGTCAAAACAGAAAAATGTTTGAGCAGTTATCTGATCAACTCCAAATTATGGTACAGATGTTAAAGAGCAAAACCAGTATTTGTTTCCTTTGCTGATATTCTTTATAGATCTGTTTATTTAAGAAACACTATATGTTTAATTTCTTCTGGCATTTTACATTATATCTCAACATTGTGTAAAATACTAACTATGTACAATACTATGTACAGTAATATTTTACTTTAATATCTCAACACTCTCAATCCTGTAGCTTCAAGCACAAATGCCAGCCTGATATCCACTTCATCTACAATTGCCAATATCCCAGCAGCAGCGGTTTCCAGCATTTCAAACCAGGTATGGTGCTTTTGTTCATCTGGCTAGCTCTCCCTCTCTTCTTTTCGTGGTCGATTTGCCGATCTAAAAAACAATCCGTGTGGGCTGGAGAGACCCTTCTCTGGATGCTCCGAGAACCAGCACCCTGGATGGTTTCTCAGGCTGCCTTCCAGTTTCTCTCTTGCTGTTAGAGATATGGTTCTATCTGGTCCCTTTATCTGCTGTGCTTATCTCTGCCTCCTGCCCCACCCCTTCCAGGCTCCATGAGGGTAGGGGTTTATTTTTCTATTTTGCTCACTTACATATTCCCACAGTTCATAAAAATGACTGACACTCATTTTCAAGGCACATAATAAATATTTGTGGAATGAATTAATATTGCTTCTACTTTTTTATCTAGCCACTCATTCCCAGTGAGGTTTTGCTCATTGTTATATTAACATTGGATGCTTAGCTCACTGGTAATGTTTTAGTGCTTTTTGTCATAATGTTTTTATTTGTTGTTTCTCTGCAGCAATTAATATTATCAACCACTGTAACCATGGATCTTTTTTTCTGGCTGCAATTAACATACTACTATTCTGGTTCATTTTTTTTTTAATGTTTGTTCCTACATTTGCATTCTTTTAGTCCATAAATATTTATTGAATTCCTACTGTGTACCTGGCACTCTTCAGGACACATCTATCTCTCTCTCTTTTCTTAGCTTTTTTTTTTGGTCCTGTCTTTATCATAGACAGTTTCCATTTAGTTTTCCACATGCTTTTCCTCCTCAGTAATGTTTAACCACATTCACAATATCTAAGGCTTCCTGCTGATTGGTGGACATATTTTCTTTAATGTCCTGTTAAGTTCTGATTTCTCTAAGTTCACCATATCTAAAACCAACCTTTCATTCTACCCTTTCTTCTATTTCCTTGTTCTTCAACAGTAAAACCACTTTTCTCTATCATGTCTCAATTCTTATCAATGAGGCCATTTTTAAAGAAACCTAGATATTCATCTCATCTCCCATTTTTTTGCTATGTCTGTTCATTTTCTAAAACATCTAATTAATTCCCTCTAAATGCCACTTTTTATCCTATACTCATCTACTCATTATCCTTTTGTATTTTTATTTGTTGAATTTGATAATCACCATTTCCTGCCCCCACATAGGCTAACCCCCATTGCCTAAAGAATCCAAATTACAGAGAGATCCTTTCAGCCAGACTGAACATCTCTGACCCCTTAATAAAACCTTTTCAGAGCCTATTCTTGTATTTATCTCCTCTGCCTATTTATCTCAGAAAGCTCCCTGGCTATCACAATCTTCAGTGACAGTTGTCTTCCTCTGTATTTCACTCATTTGACATACAATTTATTGCCAACTTGTTGGAAATGTTTTTGTCTTAGCTCCTGCTAAAATTATAACTCCCTTGGATACAGCTAGTATGGTTATTCTTTTCTTTAATACTCTCTCTTCCCACCCATGCACAGACACACACACACTTACAGGAGATGCTTATGTACTCTTTATAAGTAATTGGTCTTGATCAGTTAGCATCTTCCTACTTATCACCAAGATCAGTATCAATGGAATTTTTTAAGGTATGTTTTTGAGCTGTGCATTGCATTATACCCCCTTTTTAAACAGCTTTATTAAGGTATAATTGACATTCAGTAAACTTACAGATTTAAATTGTACAGTTTGGTAAGTTTTGACCTGTATGTGCTTGTGAAACCACCAAAAATTCTTAGTGAATATTTTGTTTTGTTTTAATCCTCACCCAAGGATATGGTTATTGATTTTCAGAGAGAGAGAGAGAGAGAGAGAGAGAGAGAGAGAAACATAGTATGTGTCCCCACTGGGGATTGAACCCACAACCTAGGTATGCGCCCTGATTGGGGATCAGACCTGCAACCTTTTGGTATATAGGACGATGCTCCAACCAGCTGAGCCACCTAGGCAGGGCATCTTTGAATATTTTAAAGAAAGAAAGATACTCAGTTGTTAAACTAGGAAACTTTAATATAGGATATGTGACTTTATTTTTTTTTGGTTTAAGGCCTTCTATCCTTAGAAGCACAACCATCTAGTGCAGTGGTTTATAAACTTCTTAAAGAGATCCTCCTTCAAGAATTCCATGCAGATATTTATCTAAAAATTTAGTACATGAAAATGGAACAAAAGAAAAAAGAGCTATTGTGGTAGGAAAAGGGGCATTGTGTGTACAGTGCATGGGACCCTTCCCTCTCAGCCTTCCCCTCAGCCCAGACAGCCCCAGGGCATCTTCTCTTGACTCTCAGGTTGCCATCAGAACGCATTTTGAAAATCATTGGTGTAGGTGGAATATATGGATAAGTAAATGAGAAATCAAATTAATGTTTTAGGAAAATAATAATGAATGAGAGGGACATGAAAGTCTCTTGTGTCGAAATTAATATTTTGCTTTTTCTAAAAGACTTGTTTTTCTCCTTTAACCTCTTTGGTCTGTAGGACTATCCCACCTATACTATCCTTGGTCAGAGTCAGTACCAGGCCTGCTACCCCAGCTCCAGCTTTGGAGTCACAGGCCAGACTAACAGTGATGCTGAGAGTTCCACGTTAGCAGCAACCACGTACCAGACAGAGAAGCCTAGTGTCATGGTACCTGCGCCTGCAGCACAGAGACTGTCCTCTGGTAAGCACCACAGCTCTAAAAACTTTGGCATAAGTGCACTTCATCTAACAGGTGATGGTGACGATTATTTTGTTCTGGTCTAAGTTACAGTTCCCATGCTACTGGCTTTCCCCCTCAGGAGTATTCAAACGTTGGAACCAGACTGTGATGAGTCATTGGCAGGTTGAGTGTAACACCTCAGAAAACAGAAAAGTACCAAGAATGAAAAGACTGTTTTTATGACTCCGACTCTGCCCTCCCTATGACTTTAACATGATTGTCCCCGGGAACTTCTGAATCATGGCACATTTTATAAAAATTGGAGGACTCCAGTTTTAGTCTCAATATTTTGGACTTCTGCCCAGCCTCAGAATAGTAGTTTTTAACTTTTTCTGTGTCATGGATCCCTTTAAGATTCTACGGAAAGCTAAAGAAATACATGAAATTGAACCTACAAATTTAGATCTGTGTATTTAGCGTTGAAATGTATTGATGAATTATGATGCCCAGGTTAAAAAAAAAAAACCTGACCTAAAGGTTTTATGCACACATTCAATAAACACATGCATATACTTTTAATTTATCTCTGTTTTTCATGAAAATTTGATGGTTTGCTATCATATCTTATGACTGGAGAAATATTGTTATTACCACTGACGCATTTTCCAAAACAGTGCTCTGCATCAACTAAAGCAGTTTTCTGTGCATCTTGCTTTTTACCAGTCTTCTAGGTAGTGGACATACAGGTGGTCATTTCCAACTTAAATTACTTTGAAATAATTATATATACTCATGCTGTAGTTTTGAATTCATGTCTCTAAATATCTTCTTCATAATAATTTTAACTTTTTAATAATGGGAGGATTTCAAGCATAGAGGTTGTCAGAGTAGTATAGTGAACCCTTATGTATCCGTCATCCCTTGTCAATAATTAACAACTCTTAAGCAGTCTTGTTTCAACTGTACTTCATCCAATTCCTTCCCCAAATTCTAAGCATCATATTTCTAAAAGATAAATACTCAACACAATCACAATTCCATTATCTCACCTAAAATAATTTAACAATAATTCCTTAATATCATAAAGTACCAAAAGTTATTTATATTTCCAGTTTTCTCATAAATATTAGCAGTTTTGTTTTTCTTTTTATACGCTGTTTAAATTGGGAACCAAGTCAGGTCCATGCACGTGATTGGTAGATACGTATTTTGTCTCTTAACCTATAAATTCCTGTATCTCTGTTTTATTTACCCATGTACTTTATTTGTTGAAGAAACTATTGTTTAATCCCATACCATTTCCCTGAATTTTGTTCATTATATTTTGAAGTATATTTTATTGATTGTGTTATTATAGTTGTCCCAGTTTTTTCCCCTCTGCCCCCTTCTGCCCAGTACCCCTCCTTCCCTCCAGCAATGCCCCCCTCCCTTAGTTCATGTCCATGGGCTGTGCATGTAAGTTTTTTGACTTCTCCATTTCCTGTACTATTCTTAACATCCCCCTGTCTATTTTGTACCTACCAATTCTGCTTTTTAATTCCTATCTCCCTTTTCTCCTATCCTCCCCCTTCCCCTTCCCAGCTGATAACCCTCCATATGATCTCCATATCTATGATTCTGCTCCTGTTCTGGTTGTTTCATTAGTTTTGTTTTGTTTTGTTTTTAAATTCAGTTGTTGATAGTTGTAAATGTATTGCCTTCTTAACATTCATAGTTTTGATCTTTTTCTTAAATAAGTCTCTTTAACTTTTCATGTAATAATGGCTTGGTGATAATGAACTTTAGCTTTACCTTGTCTGGCAAACACTTTATCTGTCCTTCCAGTTTAAATGAAAGCTTTGCTGAATAGAATAATCTAGATTATATGTCCTTGCTTTTCATCACTTTGGATACTTCTTGCTAGTGTCTTCTTGTCTGCAAAGTTTCTTTTGAGAAATCTGGTCATAGTCTTATGGGAACTCCTTTGTAGGCAACTCTCTGATTTTCTCTTGATGCTTTTAAGATTCTCTATTTTTAACCTTTGGCATTTCAATTATGATGTGTCTTGGTGTGGTTCTTTTCGGGTCCAACTTGTTTGGGACCTTCTGTGCTTCCTGGACTTGTATGTCTATTTCCTTTGCCAAATTAGGGAAGTTTTCTTTTATTATTTTTTTCAAGTACGTTTTCAGTTTCTTGCTCTTTCTCATCTCCTTCTGGCATCCCTATGATTAGGATGTTGGCACATCTGGAGATGTCCCAGAGTCGTCTTATACTGTCCTCATTTTTGTATTCTTGTTTCTTCTTTCTGTTCTGGTTGAATGTTTATTTCTTCCTTATGTTTCAAACCATTAATTTGAATCCTGGCTTCCTTCCCTTCACTGTTAGTTCCCTGTAGATTTTCCTGTATTTCCACTTAGTGTTACTTTCATTTCTTCCTTTATGTTGTTGCTGTACTCAGTGAGTTCTTTGAGCATCTTGATGACCAGTTTTGTGAACTCTGCATCTGATACGTTGGCTATCTCCATTTTGTTTATTAGTTCTTTTACTCGGGTTTTGTTCTGTACTTTTATTTGGGCTGTATTTCTTTGTGTCCTCAATTTGGCAGCCTCCCTGTGTTTGTTTCTGTGTATTAGGTAGCGCTGCTTTGACTCCCTGTAAAAGGTACCTGTAATTGTGTGGGGTGGAGCCTTAGGTAATCTTCAGGGTGAGCAACCTGCTTCACCACTTTGTGGCTCTGTGTGAGGGGAGGACTCAGAGAGGGGATTGTGCTGCTGCCTGGCTTCTGGGGGTTTGCCCAGCACTCACCCCATTTCTAGTCACTTCACTCACTTCCTGTATACAGCTGGCACCCTTCCAATTGGGAGGGTGTCGAATCCCAGAGTGGGTGGGTTTGCATACATTTTAAGACTGCAGGCCCTTTAAGTGAAGTTTCCTGAAGATCCAGCAGTTTCCTCCGCTGCCCCAACCCCCACTGGTTTTTATAGCCAGAGTTAGGGGGGTTTATCTTCCCAGCACTGTGAGCTGTGTGGTCTGGTCTGGGGCTGGGATCACTTGCTCCTAAGGTATCCTTCCAGATTTTTATCCACCACACATGAACGTGGGACCACCCATGCCTGTGTGTGCCACCGCCTCTCCACGCCACACCACATCTCCTTGCCTCTCTTCTCCATCTCCGTGTCTCTGCCCCTCCTACTTGTCTGATGAATGTGGTTTCTTTAAATCCTGGGTTGTCAAACTTCCATATAGTTCAATTTTCTGGCAGTTCTGGGTGTTATTTGTTTTGAGATTTAGTTGTAATTCTTTTGGTAGTTGTGCAAGGAGATGAAGTGTGTCTACCTGTGCCTCGATCTTGTCAGGAACTCTTGTTTATTATATTCTTGTAGAGTAGTTTAACATGTCCTGCCATCTTTTGTATGTTACTGTAAGTTAGTAAATGGATCTAGAGCAGTCTTTTTCAATTAGACGCAGTATTGTGCTGTGCATCCCTCCTTTGACATTTGACAATGCATGGAACATTTTTGGCTGTCATACTGGGAGGGAGTGCTGCTGGCGTGCAGAATGTAGGGGCCAGGGGTGCCCCCTCAGCAGACATCCTACAATGACAGGACAGCACGCTCCCAGCAAAAATCATTAGGCTCAAAATGTTAATTGTGCCAAGTTGAGAAACTCTGATCTAGAAGCTTGATCAGGGTCAGTTTTTTTGTTTGTTTGTTGTTGTTTTATTTTTTGGAAATAATTTCATAGATGAGTTCTTTCATTAGGAGGCAGGGGTATAAATTCTAGTTACAACTCTGTTAGCAATGTTAGGAGCTTTTGATACTCAATACCCACTTCTGCATTCCCAAATTACTTAGATTCCTTTGGTTTTTCATTTTTTATGCCTGCATTATGATTCGGAAGGGCAGAAAACCTGCTGACCCTCTTCATGCTTTGGTTCTTATAACCTTTGACTGGCAGTAAATGTCTTGCTTTTCCTTCCCAGGAGACCCTTCTGCAAGCCCGTCTTTGTCCCAGACCACACCAAGTAAAGATGCCGACGACCAGTCCCGGAAGAACATGACTGGGAAGAACCGGGGCAAGAGGAAAGCTGATGCCAGCTCTTCCCAGGACAGTGAATTGGAAGTATGGGAAGAACCTCATTTGTTTTTTTCCTCATTTCTTAAGTTTACCAAACATGTATCTGAAACTCCTGGGATAATATGGTTCTGTGTTATATACCCTTTCATTCCTGGGTGAGAGAAACTGATTGGCCAGGTGAAAAGAGAAGTGTATAAACACATTTCTCCATGCCCATAACTTTCCATCTCACCTCAGATACTTTTACGAAAAGCATCAAAAAAGATTTTCTGAATTTAAGAAAGTAGTAACTCTTTAAAGGGAAGACTAAACTGTTCTCTATATTCAGAGGTGAACAGAAAGAACAGTGTATCATATTCAGAAAGCAGGGGGTGTCATAAGTAATGTCATACAAAAATGTCCCTTCAAAAATCTCCGAGTAAAATGAGAGTCTAAGAGTGCTTTAGGCCAAGTTTCTGTGAATGTGCAGCCAGATCTGGTAACTTATTAATGGGATTTACACGTATTTATTCTGTGGTTAAGCACTGTAAGAATTTACTATGGGCATGTATTTGGCTTCGTGATTAAAAAGACTGGGAATTCATATAAACTAGTAATAGTAAATTTTTGATATTAATCCTTTTGCTTTTTTTCAGTTTCATATAATCATTTAATAAGGGGGAAAGCTGTATTTAAAAACAGGTACATTGACAGGTATTCTGAAGGCATAGGCAAATTCAGGCTGTATTTAGAGCCTCTCTTCCCTTGTGTTCTTGAGGAGGAGGGAGGGGAAGAAAGAAAGTCTAGTATATCTCTTTGGAAAAACTGAGAACTCACTCAGTTTCAATCTTGAAAGCTGTGGTAAAATATACATAACATAGTATTTACTATTTTTTAAGTGTGATTTAGTGGCATTAAATATTTTCACATGTTTTTTAATTGTCACCACTATCTATTTCCATGATCCTAAAAGCTTTGTACCCGTTAGGCAATAAACTCCCTATTCTTTCCCCCACTGATCCCTATAATCTTTGTTCCACTTTCTTTCTCTTTGAATTTGCCTGTTCTAGATGTCCCATAAAAATGGAGTCATGCAATTCTGTTCTTTTGTGCCAGGCTTATTTCACTTAACATGTTTCTAAGGTCCATCCATGTTGTAGCAAGCATAAGAACTTTGTTCCTTGTTATGACTGAATAATATTTCATTGTAGTATTATGTATATACCACATTTTGTTTATTCATGCATCTATTGATGGACTCTTTGGGGTTTTTTCACCATTGAGCTATATAGTTATCTCTTTGAATCCCTCTTTTCAATTATTTTGGGTAGACCTAGGAGTAAAATTGCTGGATCATATGGTAATTCTGTGGTCAACTTTTTGAGGAACCACCAAAATGTTTTCTATAGTGGCTAAACCGCTTTACATTCCCATCAGCCATGCATGAGGGTTTCCATTTCTCCACATCCTTATCAACACTTAGTTCCTATATTTTTTTGATAATAGGCATCCTAACAGATGTGAAATGGGTATCTCATTTTAGTTTTGAGTCACATTTCCTTAATGACTAATAACATTAACTATCTTTTCATGTGTTCCTCAGCCATTTGTTTATTTCCTTTGGAAAAATGTCTATTCAAATCCCTTTCCCATTTTTTATTTGGGGTGTTTTTTATTGAGTTTTTGGAATTCCTTACATATCCTGGGTATTAATCCCTTATCAGATATATGATGCACAAAAGTTTAACATTTTGATGAAGTTGTTTTTTTATTTCATTGCTTGTGCTTTTGGTATTATACCTAAGACTACAAGATTATGAACATATCTATGTTTTCTCCTAAGAGTTTTATTGTTTTGGCTCTTAAATTTAGGTCATTGATCCATATTGAGTTAATTTTTGTATGTATTGTAAGGCTCTAATTTTTATTCTTTTGCACATGGATATCTAATGTTTCCCAGCACCTGTTGAAAGGAATTTTTTCCCCATAGAATGATCTTCATTTCCTTGTCAAAAAGAAATCAATTGACAATATATGTCAGGGTTTATTTCTGGGCTCTCTCTTCTATTTCATTGGTCTGTTCTTATGCTAGCACCACATTGTTTTGGTTACTGTAGCTTTGAAATCAGGAAGTGTGAGACTTCCAACTTGGTTTGTTTTCAAGATTATTTTGGCTATTTTGGAACCCTTGAGAGTCCATATGAATTTTAGAATGAGGTTTTCTATTTCTTTAAAAAAACACTGTTGGAATTTTGATGGAAGTTGCATTGATTTTGTAGATTGCTTTGGGTAGTATTGTCATACTAACAGTGTTAAGTCTTCCATTCATGAACATGGGGATGTCTTGTTATTTATTTAGTCCTGTCTTTCATTTCCTTCAGCAATGTTTTATAGTTTTCAGTGCACAAGTCTTTCATCTCCTCAGATTTATTACTAAGTATTTTATTTTTGATGCTATTATACATGGAATTGTTTTTTTTTAATTTCTGTTTGGATTATTCATTGCAAATGTATCAAAATATAACTTATTTCTGAATTCATTTATTAGCTCTAACAAATTTTTTGTGTATTCTTTAGTATTTTCTACACAGAAGATCATGTCATCTGCAGAGATAATTTTACTTCTTCCTTTCCCATTGGGGTACCTTTTTTCCCTTTCTTGCCTAGTTATTCTGACTAGACATGCCCGCACTATGTTGAGTAGAACTGGTTTAAACAGACCTGCTTTTCTTATTCCTAATCTCAGAGGTAAAGCTTTCGGCCTTTGACCACCGAGTATGACATTAGCTGTGGGTTTTTCATATTTGGCTTTTATTATGTTGCAGAAGTTCCCATATAGTTCTAGTTTATTGGTTTTTTTTTAATCATAAAAGTGTGTTGAAGTTTGTCAGATGCTTTTTCCGCATAAGGGACCATGTGGATTTCCCCCCTCTGTTCTATTAATGTGCTCTGTTATTACACTAATTCATTTTTGTGTGTTGATCCTACCTTACAACCTGGAAACAAATCCCACCTGGTCATGATGTATAATTCTTGTAAATGCTGCTAAATGTTGTTTGCTATATTTTGTTGAGGATCGATACTTTGTTTGCATCAATATTCATAAGTATGTTGTTTTACAGGTTCCTTTTTTTTTCTTTGTAGTGTCTTTATCTGACTTTGGCATCAAAGTAATGCTGGTTTCATAGAGTGGGTTAAGAAGTGTTCCCTCCTTCAGCTTTTTGGAAGAGCTTAAGAAGGATTGCTATTGATTCCTCTTTAAATATTTCGTGTAATTTACTACTGAAGCTGTCTGGTCCTGGGCTTTTCTTTCTTGGGATATTTTTGATTACTGATCCAATCACCTTATCAATTAAGAGTCTATTCAGAATTTTTATTTCTTCAGTCATTTTTTCACTTTGTGTATTTCTAGGAATTTGTCCATTTCATCCAGATTATTCATTGGTGTACAGCTGTTCATAACAGTCTCTTACAATCCTTTTTATTTCTGTAAAATTAGTCATAATGTTTATTTCTGATTTTAGTAATTTGAGTTTTCTTTCCTTAGTCAGGCTAGCTACAAGTTGTCAATTTTATAGATCTTTAAAAAAAAAACAACTTTTAGTTTATTGATTTTTCTCTATTATTTTTCTAGTCTGTGTTTAATTTATTGATATTTTTACTTTTATTATTTTCTTCCTTTTTCTGGCTTTTTCTAGTTCCTTCAGTTATACAGTTAGGTTATTGATTCAGATCTTACTTCTTTGTTAAGGTGTGTGCTCATGGCTGTAAATTTCCCTCTTTGCACTTCTTTTGCTCTATTCCATAAATTTTGTTATGTTTTTATTTCCATTCATCTCAATGTATTTTCTAATTTCATGTGTGATTTCTTTTTTGATCCTTGGTTATTTAAGATCGTGTCTATTTAACTTTTATGTATTTGTGAATTTTTCAGTTTTCCGTTACTGATTTCTTGCTCTATTCCATTGTGATTAGAAAAGATGTTCACTCATTATTTTTTATATTTTCCTCCCTCAGCGGGTATTTCTGTGGGACTTGGATGAAACCATCATCATCTTCCACTCCCTTCTTACTGGATCCTATGCCCAGAAGTATGGAAAGGTAATTTGAATCTTTCTTCCTTTGTTGTAACTCTCCCTTTCCTGCTATATGGGTGGCAGATAACCGAAATTACTTTCTCTGCTACTTCCATCTTACCTTGTTGGCCTTTTATACTTTCCATTTTAAATTTCACCTAATGGCTTGTACCAAGCAGGCTACACGATCAGGCAGAGTTTGATGATAAAGCTGGAGAGATTAGACCTGGGGCAAGTGCTGAAAGCTGAAGTTATTTGAGAGTGGTATTTCATTTGTATAAATGAAGTATGGAAATGATTCTTAAAACAGAGTGGAGTCTCAGGATTATGTATTCCAAGGACCAGTCTGTTATCCCTTAAATCACTTTTAACAGCCCCAACCAAGCATTTCATTTAGCTGAGCGCATACCAGATAATGTAAATTCAAAATATAGGTAACATATAAACTGTCTTTGTAAAATAGATTACATACGTTCTTAAATATATCAAGCAGAATTTAACTTGTCAACAATATAAACATCAGTTTTGAAAGAGGGATAAGATGTTTTTGAGCTATTGCCTATATATTTCTATACTAAATTACCTTCAGGCTTTTATTTTTCTGTTTCTGTGAATACATTTTATAAAAATATCTGCCTCCTTTGCTCTCTTACTATTCCCAGTTATTACTGTCATTAGTATTTCTGTCAGAAGTAATTTCCACAGGCTTTTAGCATATAGACTGGCAAGCTTATACGCCACGTAGCTAGGCTGTTTATAAGGTATATAAAATAAGAGCATACAGCCCTGACCAGTGTGGCTCAGTTGTTTGGGGGTCATCTAGCAAAGTGAAGGGTTGCTGCTGTTGGATTCCCAGTCCAGGCACATGCCTAGGTTGCAGGTTTGGTCCCCAGTTGGGGCACATGTGGGAGGCAAGCGATTGATTCTTCTCTCTGATATCATTGTTTCTCTCCCTCTCTTTCTCCCTCTCTTCCCCTCTCTCTAATCTAAATAAATAAATAAGTAGCGTACAGCCTCTGTTGTTCATTTTAAAGCTAAGTGCATTGCTTTTCCTGCAAATATTTTGACTCTTCAGCCTTTGTTTACTTATTTCCTGGTTGTTGAGATTTTCGGATAACTGACTTCTGGTGTCACACTGTGTGTGTGTGTGTGTGTGTGTGTAGAAGATAATGGGTGTTACAATATCAATATTTTAGCTATAGTTAGAATTTCTCCTCCCCCAAAAATAAAGGTGTTTTTTTAAAGTGGGTTTAGTTTTCTAGAAACTAAAGTCCTGAGATTTGTAAGTTTTCATAATTCCAGATTCTTATAACTCTTATAACTGTGGATAAAATTGCATCAGTAATAATTGGAGGCACTATTGTGGGTCTGTGTTGTTTGGCCTTGACCCAGAATAATTTTGAAATATTTAAGGATCAGAAGCAGTGCTGTGAGTACCAACTTAGGCAAATTTTTCTTTTATTGTCTTCCAGGACCCAACAGTAGTGATTGGCTCAGGTTTAACCATGGAAGAAATGATTTTTGAAGTGGCTGATACACACCTATTTTTCAATGACTTAGAGGTAAGCATTTAAAATGGTTTCTGTACTTGGGTGAAACATCGGTTCAATAACTGTTGAACCTGTGCTTATTGTACTCAGAGAAAACGTGGTTGAGGGGTATGGAGAGGCCACAGGGATCTATACAGTCTTGCAGGAATGATGCCGTGGCTTTCGATTCTGGCCATCAGTTTTATTGGCCCCAAATTTGATTTTTGTTCTGGAAGTGATCTTGTTCTAAAGGAAATCCCAACCTATTGGGCAAACCAACATTCCGATTTATTCATGTATATTAAATAATATATAAGGTGGGTTTGATTATTTGTGCTTTGCTGTTCTTCAATTTTACCTCCTTAAAAGAGTCACTGGATTTGTCAGATCTATAAATGACTGCTGTGACTCATTATATTTTATACATGCTGATTTTCCCACACATGCTAATGTGTAGGTTAGCCTTGTTATCCAGAATCATTTTATAGGTAGGTACAGGAAAACCAGGAAACACTGAGCTTCTTGGGGAATTTTTTGGCTTTGATATTTGAGTTTACCTTTGAGGTAAACATGGTGTGGTGGAAAGAACAACAGCATTGGGAATCAGAAGACCAGTGTGTGAGTCCCAAGTTAGGAAAGTTACCGTCCCTTTCTGGGGCCTCAGGTAAGCAGTTATTCTACACAAGAAACTAGGAGCAGTTGTTCTGTCTTGGGAGGGGAGTGCGTTGCAGGGACACAGACGTAGGAAGGAGCAGATGTGTCACTTCATGTCCTTTTGAATTTCAAACCGTGTACCACATGTACCACCTAGTTTTAAAAGTAGTGAAGATTTTGAAGTAAAATAAGGTAGCCTTTTATAAATACGAAGTAATTCTAATCCTTTTAAAATACAACGTAGTTCTACTTAGCAGACAGTTCTCCAGCAAATTAAATTAATAGAGCTCTAAACTCCAATATTCTTGTCTAAATTCTACGGCGCTTTAATCTCTTTCCTCAACTTCACATGTTGATAAGTTAGGACATCAGAGTTTTTATTCAGCAAACATTTATTGAAAACCTACTATGTGCCAATAATTATTGCCAAATTGTATTTGTAATGATTTTCTAGACATAGTCCTCACTCAGGACTGAAAGTTCTGTGAAGAATTTGACCTGAATGTGTTCCTGCCCCCAGGTCAGTGGTTCTCAACTTTAGGGGGCATAAGAATCTCCTGGGGACCTTGTTAAATAAAAGGAAGATTCTAGGACTTCACTCCCAGAAATTCTAATTCAAGTAGGTCTGGGGTGAACCCAAGAATATGCACTTTTTAAAAACTTCCCCAGAGGATTCTGATGCGTGAGGACATGACAGCGCTGCCTTCGGTGGTGTCAGAGGAGTGTATCTGTCAGAGTTAGGCAGTGGGTGGCTTTATGTCAGGACTCGTGTGGCCTTAGTGAAAAGAACCTTGGATTTGAATAGGAAGACCCAGGCTCTACCGCTCGGGGAAGTCATTCCACCGCACTTTTATAACATGAGGAGACTGGCTTAGACGCCCTCTTCTGAGTACCAAGCTTGAATTTATAAATTTCTGTTTCGGTCACTCTTAGTTTTCATACCACACTCTACCAACATCTGTTCTGTCTGCAGGAATTTATTGGGTACATGCTACGTAAGGTCACTGGACTAGACTAGAGGGGTACAAAAGAGAAGTAAGATAGGGGTCGTGCCATAAGGGGCCTAAAGTGTAATCGAACTTTCAGTCTGCTGTAGAGCATAGACACACACCTGGCCGTGTAAGGGAGCTTGCACTCATACCCATGAGCTGTGGAAAAATGAACTGTTGAGATAAGAGCATCAATGAGGGTGGGGATGGTCAAGGAAGATTTCATGAAGACTGTGGAATATGAATTAGGCCTTAAAAGAAGTTGGGCAGCAAGGGGAATAAGAGTGATCCTCCACCCATAAGAGAGGCCACAAGGTATTTCATCACCCCACCATTGTTTTTACAATACGTCACGGTGGTAGCAGCACCCCTGCTCACTGGACTGAAGTAGTATATGGTTTTGTCTTTTAACAGGAGTGTGACCAGGTGCATGTGGAAGATGTGGCTTCTGATGACAATGGCCAAGACTTAAGGTGATAAAAACAACGATGCCGTAAACATCAGTGCACCTGTTATGAACAGAACACTGCCTACATTCAGAGTAAAACAAAGATGAATAAGACAGAGCCTTAAAAGAGCTCACAGTCTGTTAGAGGATACAAACATAGTTAACGGTGTCACGCAGTATGAGGTCACAATAGAAAATGTGATGGAGCACAGAAAAGAAAGCATTTCTGATGGGTGTGGAGGGTAGATGGTTGCCAACATTAGAGGGGCCTTTTCTGTGCAGTAGAATTTGAGCGTGACCTTGAAGAATGGGTAGTGGTGATGGGATAAGGAAAAAGCATTCCAAAGTAAAGGATATACTAGGTTTCCCTCTGGCCAGATTTTTAGTCAGAATTGTGCTTCCAGGCTGGTTATATTTATTTCTTAAAAAATTTATTTTGCCCTGGCTGGTGTAGCTCAGTGGATTGAGCTCAGGCTGCGAACCAAAGGGTCGCCGGTTCGGTTCCCAGTCAGGGCACATGCCTGGGTTGCAGGCCAGGTCCCCAGTGGGAGCCATGTGAGAGTCAACCATACATTGATATTTCTCTCCCTCTCTTTCTCCCTCCCTTCCCCTCTGTCTAAAAATAAATAAAATCTTAAAAAAAAATTATTTACTCTTTTAGACAGAGGGGAAGGGAGGGAGAAAGAGAGGGAGAGAAATATCGATGTGCAAGAGTCAACTGGGTAACCTGGCCCACAATCCAGGCACGTGCCCTGACTGGGAATCAAATTGGCAATTGACCTTTTTGGTTTGCCGGGCAATGCCCAACCCACCGTTCTTACGACATTTGACTGTGGCTAACCAGTAATTACCTATCGTAGTCTTGGCAGCTTTATTTTCTTAAATATAGAATATCACATAACTTACTGAACTATGTTTTGGCTTTTGATTAAACCAACTTATCTCTAATTCTGTCAGTCATTTTAAAATCTTTATTTAGGAAGCATTAGCCCTGCCCAGCCTGTTTAACTATATAGGCATTTCTCCTTTTATTGTGCTTCATTTTCTTGTGCTTCACAGATGTTACATTTTTTTTACAAATTGAAGTCAAGAACCTCCACCAACCTTATTTTATCGCAATATTTGCCTTTATTGGGGTGGTCTGGAACCAAACCCATAATATCTCTGAGGTATGCCTGTATCAGCTATCTATTGTCGTATAATAAACTATCCCAAAAGTTAGTAGCTTGACATAATAAACATTTATCATCTCATAGTTTCTGTAAGTCAGAAACTTGAAAGTGATTAGCTAGGTAGTTCTGAATCTGGGTCTGTAAGATTGGAATCAAGATACTGGCCAGAGCTACAAATCATCTAAAGGTTTGTTTGTAGCTGGAGTACCTGCTTTCAGCCTCTCACCTGTGGCTGGTAACAGGGGGCCTCAGTTCCTCCCTGCGTGCCTCTGCGTGGGGCAGCGTGAGCATTCTCATGTGACAGCTGGGTTCTTGCAGGATTAATGCTCCAAGAGAAAACAAGAGAAGCCTAGTCACTGTGGTCTAACACTCTCACTTCCACCACATTCTGTTTACATTCAAATACAGTACATACCCAGAGGGAGCAGAATCAGAAGAGAGGAATGTTAAAGAATTGTGGACATGTTTTAAAGCCACCACAGTGGACCATGGACTTAATAAACTAGCCAACAGATGACCCAAAGAGAATATCCCTGTACATAGTTGCAATAATTTTGTATGTGCATACACACTTTTTTTTTTTAAAGTAAGAGTTTATTTGACCCAAACTGAGAACGTATGCCAGGGAACAAGATCTCAAATGCTCCCCATACACAAAAATTTTATATTCTGTTTTTTGGGGGTGTTTTTTTTTTTTCACTGTAAGATACTGTCATTAATGAAAGGATGCTGTATTTTAAGCCGGCCTCTGTGGGATGCTGGTGCTTGAATTGTTCGTATCTCTCTTGCCCTTTCTTTGATAAAGTAATAGGGGTGAGATAGAGGACTAGTGAAAAATAGACTCCGCCATCAGCCTTGGTGTTAGGTGCCAGGAATAGGGCAGAGAATCCCAGATGGCACTCATCCAAAAACCCCGTGCGGTATAGATTTTAATTTTCATTATCCTCTCTCTCTGCAGCAACTACAGTTTCTCAACAGATGGTTTCAGTGGCTCAGGAGGCAGTGGCAGCCATGGCTCCTCTGTGGGTGTACAGGGGGGTGTGGATTGGATGAGAAAACTGGCTTTCCGTTACCGAAAAGTGAGAGAAATCTATGACAAGCATAAAAGCAACGTGGGTGGTAAGTGTGGCCTACAACCGGACTGACCTGGTTTCCTTCTTATTTCCTGCTTTTTTTCCCAGGGTTTCCTTAGAACTCCCCGGCAACTGCTTATGAGTTTGAATCTCAATAACATTTTAATTCTGTATTTAAAAACATGAAAGTTCTAGTAAAATGCTTTGGGGAAGAGCTCTGCATTTCTCCTGGCCTTCTCTTAGCATAACTTTGCAAAGTTCTCCTGTTCTTTTTAGACAAAGTTCTTTTTAAAGGAAATGTGTTTCATTGATTATATCTAATAACGTGCTTTATTCTGGAGTCAAAAAACTACTGTCAGTACTGGGTACTAGGTTTCCTTTTCTTTGTTTTATTTTAAACCAATATATCAAAACAAATCACATAGAACTAATGACTAGGTTTACAGTAGATGGAAAACCCAGGTCCAGGAGTATAGGTTGGCGGTATTCATGTGTTAATTTGAAGGACCTTGGGAATTCTCTCTACCTAGAAATATCTCATGTGTCAGATGTCACAAGGCCTAAAATTCTGTTATTTGGGATGAGTGAGTGAATTAGTGATAGATTGTCCAAATTAGAAGAGGTATTAGATAGCTAATCTAAATTCCTTGTTTTGCATTACAGAAAGTTGGTGTCCATTGTGAAAGTAACAAGGGCAGTTATCATAGCAAGTTAATGACCTGTCACGGCTGGAATTCCCATCCCCTAACTCTTGGTCCACTTGACATTTTAGCAGTTCTTTTTTGAGTGATACACCCTTATGAAAAAATATTTAAAACTGTGAACCATCACCCTCAAACTTCTACATACACACAAAATGTTGTATGAAGTTTCAGGTTCCGTAGTCTGCCTAGAGGTGTATTACGTCTAGGTCAGAGAACTTTCCTGCCATACCGTGCTACCACCTTCTGTGGTACAGGAAATAAAAATAGGACTTTGAAGGTCAGTTTGGTTCTCTCCTGTTCTAGCCCTCTAATACCAGGTAGAAATCACAGGCATCTAGGCTTTGGGAATCTAATTAAAGTGTTTGATTCTTTCTCTGCCTAGGGAGTGCCTAGTCCTAGTTTCTTGAAGAAAGTAATATAACCCTCTGTGAGAATCTCCTGAGCCTAAAGTTATGTCCACCTGTATTCTGTGAAAATTTTGAATTATAAAGTTGCCACATCATACTATTCATTAAACATAAGACATGTATATACTTATGTGTATATCACACATGGCATAGAAATATTGGTTTTATTTTATTAGAAACATTGAGAGTCATCTAATTCTAGGCTTGCATTATGAAATCATTAATCTGAAAACAAATTATACACAGTTCTAGTCCTCATAGAAATGCCTTTTGTTTCTATGGAATGTTAGTAATAGACTACAGGATTTTTTTTTTACCTTTATTATAGAAAATTCAGGGTCAGATTCAGTATTTGAATATTATAACTCAAGTGTCTGATAAAATGCTCTCATCAGATAAATTCTATTTCATTATGCTTAATTATCTGATCTTAAGCAGTATTTTAGTCTGTTACCAGCTGGAGTTGTTTCAGAAGTAAGTTCAATACCAATAAATGACATTCAGAGAGTTGGTCCTTCCCCCTGGCGTGTCAGGTGGGTGTGTTCTGAAAGCGGTAAAAAGCACAGTCGCCATGGGAGCATTGTACGGCAGTGGAAAGACTTCTCAGACCAAAAGCCAGTAACTTTCTGTGTAACCTTAGCACCCCTTTCCTCCCCAAGTTCTGGTTTCTTTAGAAAGGATTGGAGATGCTGCAGACTCTTCCAGCTATAAGACATTTTTCCTCCTTTGGTTTTTGGAGGTGATATCTAAATCGGTGCTACTCAAGGTATGGTCCACCATTGTGCAGATCCTGCTCCTGATTTGTGATGAAAGAGCTTCTGCCAGAATCCAATCACATTGTTCTCATCAGCTGGTTTCGCTGTTTGCCCTCCAGCAAAACCATTCTGATGAAGGAAATCACAAATGCATTTTCAGTAGGCTACTCTAGGGTTTTTTACTAAGAGAAATATATTAGCTCAGTAGAATATTTCAATGACACACTATTTCTAAATGGAATTTAGTCCTCAATGTCAGCAGGGATAATATGTTGTCTTATGATAAATGTGTCTGTTTTTATTCCCGAAGGCCTTCTCAGTCCCCAGAGAAAGGAAGCGCTGCAGAGACTAAGAGCAGAGATTGAAGTTTTAACAGATTCCTGGTTAGGAACTGCATTAAAGTCCTTACTTCTCATCCAGTCCAGGTATGACAGTGGTTCTTTTAGGTCTCTCATCCTCTCAGACATACCCTTCCTACACTACCAAGGACAGGCCATTCCTAAAATAGGATTTCAGATGGGGTGAGAGGAATTTAAATGAAGGAAGAAAGTATTTAGAGTAGGTGGGAGGCACGGTCATTTTACACTAACAACACACCTTAGAGTTTTAAGAGAATATAAATGAAAGCCTTTTTCTTTCCCCTTCCTTTTTGCTCACAGAATTAAAAACTCCATAACTCATATTCTTCAGCCCGTGAGATGGGCCTGGTGACATCAAAGAATACATACAGGAGACATATCTCAAACATCCTAAGGACAGGAGGCACCAAAGAAATGTATCAAAATAAACTCTGGAGGCAGGATTGAAAAGAAAAGGGAAGATTAAGCAGATTAAGGAGATTTCAGCTTGAAGGTTATAATGGAAAATAAATATAGTCATTTTCGTACCAATATCCCTTACTGTTTCCTTCCTCAGAGTAGAAATTCTAGATCTATAACCTAACAGAGCAAACGATAAAACTGACACCGAGGTCATTCGGTGAAGTTTATAAAGAGCATGAGAAATTAATATGTATTCTGGAATCTGCATTGCTGTTGTGTGAAGAGCAGAGAGGACTTAAATCACATCCCATCTAAGGGCTGAGTTGTGCTCAGATAGAATGGCTCTGTAACTGTCGGCCTCGGTCATCTGTTTTCTAGAGGGTGGTGTCGTTGGTAATCGCTAACGAGTGCGTGAGATAGAGTAGTCGGAGGGAAATGAGGCAAGAACCGGGTGTCTGCTCTGTGCCCACTGTAGGATCTCTGCCCTTTATATGGAAATTAATAAACCTGAAATAATCAGAGCAGTAAATGAATGTTGGCACTGAACAAATACCATGCCATGCCCTTTAAGGTTAGTTTGTAATAATTAGATCCTAAAGAGAAGATCCATTTGCATGCTTGCTCCTGGGTTGGTTTGGTTTCACCTTTTTCTTTTCTTTTATTTCTTTCTCCCTTCTAGAAAGAATTGTGTGAATGTTCTGATCACTACAACACAGCTGGTTCCAGCTCTGGCCAAGGTTCTCCTGTACGGGCTTGGAGAAATATTTCCTATTGAAAACATCTATAGTGCTACCAAAATTGGTATGGTTTCTATTCTGCTTCTTGTCACTGGCCTTACAATAATATTTCCTACTTAGGATGCACTTATAATTTATCATTCTCTATCTTAGGCACTTTTATATATCGATAGCCCTCACAGCAGTCTTCTGACATTACTGATGAGGCAGTTCAGGCTTAACGGTTGTATAGCTTGCACACGACTTCATAGATAGTAAGTTACATAAACAGGATTCAATTCCAGATCTGTGGGACTTCAAACTTATTATGCTTTTAATGTCTACTTTAGAAGTCTACTTTTGCCTCATTTCAGATTTCTTTTTCACAGAGAGGGCACTGCAGTATAGTATAATAGAAAAGTCATTAGGTTAAAAGTCAAAGACTAAGCTGTGTATTTGAAAGTGGTCAAACCCCTCACATCCGTCAGGATGGCTGCTGTCAAAAAACAGAGAAACACCAAATGTCGGTGAAATATGTGAAGAAATTGGAACCTTCATGCACTTTGGTGGGAGTGTGAAATGATGCCACTGCTATGGAAAACTGTATGGCAGTTCCTCAAGAAATTAAAATTAGAACTGCCATATGATCCAGCAATCCCGGTTCTGGGTATACTCCAAAAGAATTAAAGCAGGATGTCAAATATTTGCACACCATGTTCATAAGAGCATTATTCACAATAGCCAAGAGGTGGAAGTAACTCACATGCCCAGCAGATGAATGGATAAACAAAATGTCGTATATACACGCAGCAAGATATTACTCAGCCCTAAAAGGGAAGGAGGTCTTGTCACATGTCACCACATGTTTGAACCTTGAAGACATTATGCTAAATAAAGCAAATCACAAAAAGATAAGTACTGCATGTTTTCATTTATATAAGGTACCAAGTGGTCATGTTCCTAGAAACGAAGTAGAATGGCGGTTAACAGGGCTCAGGAGAAGGGGAAATAGGGAGCTGTTTAACGGGTATGGAATTTCCGTTTTACAAGATGAAAACGTTCTGCAGATACGCTGCACAACAGTGTGAGTAAATTTAATGTCACTGAAATGTACACTTGAAAATGGTTAAGATGGTAAATCTTAGGTTGCGTGTTCTTCTACTACAATTTTTTGAAAAGGCAAAAAAATACTAAGGACTAGCTTCCCCGCTTACTGGCTCTTTCCTTAGGCAAATTATTTTATCCCTGATCCTCAGTTTTCTTGTGTAAAATGGGAAACTAACAGGTTGTGGAACTCAAATGAGACTGTATTTACGAAGGGACTTTTTAACCCCTAAAAACGTATTCAGTGCCAAGTCTGCCGTACCTCATTTTATTGAGTTTCACACATGTTACGTTTTTTACAAACTGAAGGCGAGACCCTCCACCAGCAAAGAGATTACAGCTTGCTTCGTTACAGTGCTTCTTTAATGTGGTGGTCTGGGACTGAACCTGCAGTGTCCCCAGGGTATACCTCTGTATGAAATAGTAGGTACTCAGTAAGTATTTGCTGAATTAGTTCATTAATTAGCACTGAATTTATACAAAGCCAGCTTGTTTCATCGAGAAGGCAGCACAGGGTCTCACTTGGATCCTTATGTGGGAGAAAGAGGATTGTGACAACCATCCTCTTACCTCCAGACCCTTCAGTCTGCACTTGCGCTTCCTACTTATTACTGTAGCAAAGGAGAGGCGCCTGCAGTTGAAAGGTGGGCTGTGGTCAATTATTTTTTTATCTACTACTTGCCTATTGATCAGATTTCTCCACAAAAAAAAACCAGGCTTAATCATTTTAATGTACCAGTATCTGTGGAGATTATAAGCCCACCAATTGACATTTATTTTTCTCCACTCATTCATCAATTATTTATTGATCACTTTTATATGCAAGGCATTTTTAAAAATTTTTAAAAAGGTTTTATTTATTTATTTTTAGAGAGGGGAAGGGAGGGAAAAAGAGAGGGAGAGAAACATCAGTGTGTGGTTGCCTTTCGCATGCCCCCTCCTGGGGACCTGGCCCACAACCCAGGCCTGTGCCCTGACTGGGAATCAGACTAGTGACCCTTTGGTTCACAGGCTGGTGCTCAGTCCACTGAGCCACACCAGCCCGGGCACATGTTTTTAGATAGGGATACAACAGTACTTTAAAAAGACAAAAGTCCTTGCACCTAGTGGGAGGAAACAGTTAATAAGCAAGTACAACAAACTGTATCAGATGGTTACAAGTGCTATGGATAAACAGGGAGAGAAGATCCTGTTTTCAATAAGATGCTTTGGGAAGGCCTCAATGAAAAGTTACCTTTTAAGCAAAGACCTAAAGGAGGTGAGAGCGTTAGCCATTAGCCTGTATCTGGGGAAGGAGCATCAGGCCATGCAGCGGGACAGCAAGTGGAAAAGTTGGAGGCATGTTCAAGGAAGAAGAATGTTGGGAAATAAAGTCACAGAGGTTAAAGGGGAAAGTGCGGAGATCCAGCAGGGGCTATAGATTATTTTAAAGACTTTGGCCTTTATTCTGATGAAATGTTACTTTAAGGTTTTGAGCAGAAGAGTGACATGATCTGACTTACAAGTTAAAGGTATCAGTCTGGCTGCTATGTAGCGTCTTGAGGAGGGAGCTAGCTGGAAGTTAGATGAGGAGGTTATTGTAATAATCCAGCAGGAGTTCATGGGTGGTTTGAACCAAGGTAGTAGCAGTGGAAGCTAAGTAGTCGGTCACTGGATATTTTATGAAGGCAGAGCTGACATCGTTTGCTAATAGTCTGAATGTGAGGTGTGGAAAAAAAGAAGGGTGACCCAAGAATTTTAGCCTTAGCCCCCAAAAGGATGAAGTCAAAGGAGGGCTACTGGCCGGAGATACGTGATGGGAGTTCTTGGTGTACATGTGGTTATTTAAGACAGGTTGAGGCTGTAGGAGTGAGTGCAGATAGAGGAGAATAGAGATCTAGGAACTCAGCCTTGGCTCTCTAATATTTAAATGTTTGGATCTTGAGGTATGTCAATAAAATAGTGTCTGGCCTAACCGAAAAAGCCTTGTGTTTATTTGAGCCAAACTAACCAACAGTTGCCAGGAAGCAAAACCTCAATGGATTGAGACTGCTCCATTCAAGAATGGCAGTTTTACAGTTTATTTTGTATATTAAAATCAAAGGAGGAGATTTAAGGGGGTTACAGGAAATTCAGTGGTCTTCGGTTAGGGAGGCTGGAGGAAGCAAAGCAGGGCAATCTCTGAGATTTGATAAAAAGCAAAACAGAGATACATACTTCTTTTACATTGGTGCGTACAGGATAGTTAACATTCACAGAACATAGAGATGGCATGTGGACAGAATAACAGTGTGGTCTCGTGTTTTGGTGCTAGTGGTCGTGCCTTTGAGGGGTCTGGAAAAATGCTTACTCTGACATTTCAGACGGGTATATTATCTTCTTATGCACAAAGACAATAGACAATTTCAAAGTTAAAGATTGGCCTTTGTCAGGGAAGCTGTAGACCTAAGACATGACTACCCACTGTGACCCACTTTTAGTTAGGTTGTACCAAGCAGGACTTCTGAGTATGGGTATGTAAGTTATCACTTGTGATATGGCCGGTCATCTTTGATTTGTGAATTTGTATGTTTATTACAACAATTTTCCAGCAGGTGGCAGTCAAGTGCCTTGAGGAAGGGCTACCTTTTTTATTCATACAGGAACCCTGGTGTTAAGTCACTGGATCTGATCAGGAAAGGATGAGAAGGTTATTGGAACAGAATGAAAAAAGAAGCAGAATTAGGACCTTGCTTAAGTGAACAAGGTGGCAGAAGCAGGGAAATAGAATATAAGAGATGGTGAAGGAAAAGCAATGAAAATAATTTCCTTTTTATTTATTTTTAAAAAGATTTTATTTATTTACTTTTAGAGAGAAGGGAAGGGAAGGAGAAAGAAAGGGAGAGAAATATCAATGTGTGGTTGCCTCTCACTCACCCCCTACTGGGGACCTGGCTCACAACCCAGGCATGTGCCCTGATTGGGAATCAAACTGGCGACCCTTTGGTTCACAGGCTGGCACTCAATCTACTGAGCTCCACCAACCAGGGCCTTTTTATTTATTTCTGCAAATAAAAAGTAGATGCAAATAAAAACATGCATCATCTGTGCATGTTTTAGGTGTAAGTTCCAGATGGGATTTGAATTTTGATATGTTGCTGTATATCTAAAAACAGTTTGCAGTGGATTGAAATCACCCATTTCCCAAGGTCATGTTCAGTAATACAGTATTTCAGTTGCAGTTACAAAGTATTATAGTGAGGAAATTGCAGATATGACAGATGTTGCTGCCATATTCATTGGTACTCTGGGGCTTCTCCCCCACTGAAAGACATAAGGCCCATGCCTAGGAATGTTTCTGGAAAGTGAAGAATTGGAAGGAAAATGATTATTTGTCTCTTTCCTATTACTAACAAGAAATCAGCCCTGGCTGCTGTGGCTCAGTGGATTGAGTGCCAGCCTGCGAACCAAAGGTTTGCTGGTTTGATTCCCGGTCAGGGCACATGCCTGGGTTGTGGGCCAGGTCCCCAGTAGAGAGAGAGGGAGAGGCAACAAATTGATGTATCTCGCACATCAGTGTTTCTCTCCCTCTCCCTTTCCCTCTTTCTAAAAATTAAGTAAAATCTTAGAGAGATTTTATTCTCTAAGAGCCTTATACTCCCACTTTTTTTTCCCTGCACTAAAAGTTTCCCCTCAGAGATGTGCATTCATCATGGCACAACGTCCAGAGCCTAGACTTGGTGTCAGGAGCCCAAACTCTTGCTGTGAGCTTATTTGGATCTGGAGTAAGTCACTAGTCCCATTTCACCTGTTAAAATAGGAAATGATACCTATCTTGCTGGATTATTTTGACAATTAAATAAGGAGTAACTTGAAAATTGCTTTGTCAACTGTAAAACAGAGGAGATGTGGAAAAGGGAGGTGGTGTGCACAGTTCTCACACTGCCTAGGGCTCTTCGCCCCCCATTCATAGATCCAGAGGGCCTGGTGGATCTCTACCTGCCGCCACTGTGCCCCACCAAGCACACCACAGGAGCTGGCACTTATTTTGTCTGTGCACAAGTAGGTAGACCTAGAAGCATCCCTTTGCTTTGGTGTTGGAAAAAAGGTAGGGTGGAATGTCCTAATAGGAGATTGCTTTCTCTCCTCAGGTAAAGAGAGCTGCTTTGAGAGAATTGTGTCGAGGTTTGGAAAGAAAGTCACATATGTAGTGATTGGAGATGGACGAGACGAAGAAATTGCAGCCAAGCAGGTAACCATGGTAAAGAAAAAAGTCTGTGTGGGAATGTATTGAGCAATTAGAAAAATGGTGAAACTCCGAAATCTTAGCAATCTGTCATTCATTTACAGTATTGTTTCCCTTTTCCTCTTTCTCTCCCATTTTTCTTTAAGAAAGAATCATCTTTTTCCCCCAAGTGGAGTTTTTTATAAGTTGTTAGATCTCCCCCTTCCCATCCTCACTGCCACTCAGAAATCCTAAACTCTTCGAACCCTGCTACAGGAAACCTATCATTAAACCTGATACGGGCCCTGTCTTCCGTCTTCATAGTAGAGGACAGTGCCTTTTCTAAAAAAATAATCGTTATTTTTATTTTTGAAATAGACATAAATATATCATCTGTAAAACTTCTCATATCTCTACATTCGAAGGTAAACTTTTCTAACATGTTTTAAAGTCATCACTTTGAAATGAAGCACTTCATTGGGATTCAAACATTTCTTTAAAATTTGAAAATATAATACCTTTCAGTTGTCAAGAACAGTCAATTGATAATAGAAAAGGTAGAAATTTACTAATTTTCAAGAAAACTTTTGAATGAGTGGATAGAATTGAAAAATAAGTATTGAATCTACAAATCTTTGAGTTATCTTTTTTTTTTATTATCCAAGTATCAAGATAAGCTGAACTTAAAACTCAACTTTGGATTGCTATATCAAAAAGTGTTAACCTGAGATTTTTAAAAATAATAGTGCATATTCACTTAGCACTCCCCCAAAATATTATTAATAATAGCAAAAGCAAAAAGGATTTTTGTGTCATTAATAAAATAAAATGATTTTTAAATATTTCTTTATATAAAATACTTGCCTGTATTTTATAATATACCATAATATATAAGTATATAAATATATAGTAATTAGGTATACCCTTGACCATATTTCTCAATCTCTCTGGATTCCTGTATTTTTACCTGTAAAATGAATGGTTTGGTTACAAAATCTGCTGAACTTGCTTGAAAATTCTTTGATTTTATGATTCAGTGCTTAGAGATGCTTTTTTTACCTTGTATGTCTACATTTTTTTTAATGATACTATCATTGGGGTTTTTTCACCTGTTTAAAAACATGTAAATTATGTTTCTTTGGAGTTGAGACAGCTCCTGGTCTCCTGCCTGATGTCAGTACCAAAGAACATACCCTTTCAGGAAAAAATCCAGGGTTAGGATAAGGGTGATACTATGGGCAGATTTATGAACACCTTAAAAAGATGCCAGTTTGTGATAGCGGAATGTTGAACTCAGTTGCGAAAGTTGAATTTGAAGTAATTTTGATATATTATTGAGTTATTTTTTTCTACTTTATTTAAAACTAAATCACGGATTGGGGGAAAATAGGTTAAATAGGTAAAGATCATGTACAAATCAATAGAAAAAAACACATTTCCAATAAAAAAAAAAACGGGCAAGCACAATGGCCAGAAATTCACCAAAAAGAACAGACGCAAATGACTGATAAACATGAAAAATGCTCAACCTCATAAACTTAAGAAATACGAAATTAACAAAATAACTTGTAGTATAGGTGATCAGGATAGGCTTTAGGCATAAGTACATTGCTTCTTTGGAGAAATGGTTTTTCTCTCTTACAGAATTAGACTTGAATCTGGTCAGAATGTAGTTTGAAGCTATGGCTGACTGTGTGCTCTGGTGTATGGAAATGGGAACCCGAGGGGGAGGGGGAGGGGGCAGGAAGCCTGGTTGGAGCACAGTAGGTGAGTAGTGACATTAAAAGGTGGGTCAGGAACGTGCTGAGAAGAGGTGACATTGGAGGAAGTAGTGATGGCTACAACAAGTGAAAAAGACCAGCTTTCTTAAACTGAAATGACATAACTCATTTCTCAAGGTGAAGAAAAAGTGAAGTAGATTCCCCTAATCCAGTTAGCCAGGACTCATTAACACAGCAGTCCCAGCATGTCTGGGGAAGTTGAGAAAGCACCTGATAAATATTGAAAAGCTCCACAAGTGCAATATCTTAGGTCTGTTAGTACAGAATTTAAAGTTTGTCATACACATTCTGATATCCAATAAATGGAATTTTGTTTGAAAATCTTAGAGGAGCTCTAGGAATTCAGAAGAAAAGGATAGATCCTCTTAAAGAAAAAACATCAGGAGAAAGAGCAGATTTGTCCAATTCCATTTGAAATCTATAGAAGAAATTGGGAACAAAACAATGATGAAACTTCATTTCAACAGCTTCGTGACTCTTTGTGGTGTATTTTAAAACAAGTTGTAGTCTTCACAATAGCCGTGCAGTTAATTTTCTAGGTCCCCTCCTGCGTGTACTGCTGATGGTGAGTCTTTAGCCTCCACCTGCTATTCAAACTGAATAAAGCTTAGAATCCAAGGAATGCCTTCTCTTTTGCAGGCTGGAATTTTTGAAGCCATATTACCAAGCTATGTAGAGTGGGATTTCAGGGCCTGAAGCTCTCATTTTATGTGCTTTGGAATGGGAAAAAAAAAAATTCTAAGGAGAATGTGAACCTGACCTTCAGTGTGCTTCCTTGGGTCACCTGTCTACTTGGAGAGGCAGTGGCCTTCATTCAGAAGCAGTTGTTGTTGTTGTTGTTAGGCTTCTTATTTCTTACTGAGAAGGAAGACATCAGACTTTTGAATTGTCTGATAACACACATTGAGTCTATATTTAAATGACAAGAAAAAATCTGTAGTTCAAGTTTTTGTAGTTCAAATAGTGAATCGTGAAACATTAACTCATCGTTTACTGAGGTGATGTTATCAGTATCTTAGCTGAGAGAAGAAGTGTTCTGGGAAGACTGGCCAGAGTCGTACGCGCTCCGGAGGATGCATGCAGTGATGTGCCCAGACTCCAGCAGGACTGAGGCACTCATTTCCTCAGCCCCCTGCGCTTAGCCGCAGATGGCTCACAGGCCCTCTCCCAGAACTGCCCTCAGCTGAAGCTGCCTCGCCTGAGGTCACATCACCTTCCCAGAGACAGCTTGCTTCTAGTCCTGGTGGGGCGGGGGCACAGCTCTAGTCTCCTGCCCTCATCTGCGAAGGGCGACCCAGCTCCTGAGCTCTCTCTGGGGTGGATCGGTGCTTCTCTGGCTGCTGTATCACAGTTCAGCCTCCCACAGTGCTTTCTGAGAAGCATGAGACTTGGCTACAGAAAGGCAAATGGAATTGACTTTTCCAGGCTTCAGATTCTCAAAAACCATTACAATCGATGGGGAATTGTTTGGAGAAAGTCCCTCCTGCTTCTGAGCCCTGGAAAGATTGTTGTGATGCTAATCCTTCAACTCCAGTTGTCCCTTCTTAACACAGGAAACAGATGGAAGAGTCTTGGCTGTAGAATCTAGAATCACACAGGCCCAAATCTGAATCATTAATTGTATGAACTTGGACAGTTTGCTTATCCTCTTTGACTTTCCTCATCTGCTAAATGGATCTGCAGAAGTTCTTTCCCTTCTACCCCAGTTTTCTTCTAGCAAGTCTGTTTCTCAGACTTGGGGGCAGTGGGTTGTCAACCAGGACTGCTGCCTGAGTTTTCTTCTTTCAGTAACATACGCACTTCCTTCAGTTCATACACTGTTAATGAACCATGAGATTGGTGGAAATCAATTGGCATCGTTAACTCATTATGCTTTCATTTGACACTTTATGTAGCAATTCAAGGGCCTTTATTATTTTCCCACGTGTTTGTGTTATCTTTGGAGTTTTTATTCTGAAGTTCTTTTTTTTTTAAAATGAAAGACTCCTCAATTTCTTTCTTTTTTTTTTTTTTAGATTTTTATTTATTTATTTTTAGAGAGGGAAGGGAGGGAGAAAGAGAGAGATAAACATCAATGTGCTGTTGCTGGGAGCCATGGCCTGCAACCGAGGCATGTGGCATGACTGGGAATCGAACCTGCGATACTTTGGTTCGCAGCCCAAGCTCAATCTACTGAGCTACGCCAGCCAGGGCGATTCTAAAGTTCTTGTTGCCCTCTGGGAAAGACACTAGTAGACGTAGGTATCAGTGCTTCTTTGTCTGAAGAAGGGAGAGGGGAGATAAAGAACCACTTGAGTAGTTAGCATCGCAGGCGTCCCTAAGACGATGCCTGCAGTCATCTACCATAGAATATGCCTGTGGGAGAATGCCCTAGAGCCTCTTGCGGTTCAGCGTCCACCCTGGGACGGGTCCTTTCTGCAGCCTCTTTGACAGACTTTCTAGTCCTTGTCTGGACACACCTAAACGTTAAGGAGGCTGCTACCCAAACGTCTTGTTCTGTGGGGTTGTCCACACTGTTAGGATGTTCCTCCTTTCGCCGCACTTAAATTCGTCTCTCTGCCTTTCACATCTTGGTCCTAGTCTAGGACACCTGCACACAGCGTAACAAGTCTGCTTCCTCTTATATTAAAAACCTTTTAAATAACTGTGTGAGCAGCAAGCTAGAAAAAAACTGAGTTATATGCCAAAAGAACTGTTCTAAGACTTAAAAATTCTGGGTAATTTGTAACCAGTTTGAACAAGACAATCACTAAAGCTAATCTCCTTCAGCTTCATGAAACACGGTTTCTAACACTTGCATTTGCCAAAGCCCTTTAAAAGGCTTTTAGAATAGCACACAGGATTCTGGACATAATTCTGACTGTATTATATAATGGGATTCTTATTTCCCAGATCCATATGTTCTGAATCTTGGTCATGGACAAGATTTGGGCCTGTAAAAAAAAGTAATAGTAATAGTAATTTCTGATGTGGGTATTTTATTTGATCCTAAAGACCCTATATAGTAGCTAGAATAAGTATCTCTCTCATAAAAGCACAGAGTTACCCCTGAAACTTAATAGAAATCTCTCACATTTGTAGTGCTCCATAGAGTGCAGAGTCCTCATACGTAGGACTTATTCGGTCCTTTTGGCAGCCTCGTGAGGGGGGCAGCGGCAGAGAGGTACAAGGTGCTGGGTGACTGACTGCTGGGTAGTCACCCAGCACCGTGGGGATAGGTCTGTGGAGAACAGGGTTCGGGTCAGTAAGACTTCCCAAAGGAAGTTGGGTTAACCAGCTCTCCCCACTCTCTTCCAGCACAACATGCCTTTCTGGAGGATCACCAACCACGGAGACCTAGTGTCCCTCCACCAGGCTTTGGAGCTTGATTTTCTCTAAGAACTGGAATGAAGAGCCTTCCCCATGAGCTCCGTTTCACTCCTGAAGCGAGCTGGAGACTGGAACCAACTAGGAACTCTCTCTCTCTCTCTCTCCATGGAACGCTGGCGAGAACACAATCAGGACCGGTAGCTGCGAGGGACGAAGCTTAGTTCGGCTACGAGTGAGCTGCAGCCCCGTGTTCGTCCTCGTGCAGAAGCAGGAGACAGTGGATTGGGAGAACGATAGACTCGCTGCAGCTACAGTGCTTTTAATTCTTCTGGGGTTCTTTCCTTTTGTTTTGTTTTTTATGTTGTTTCAAAAAATGAAGAAAAAAAAAAGGAAATTCTTGGGGCAGAGTTGCACTCTTTGTCCGTGACCTGAGTGAGAACTGCTGTTAACTCGTGGTGATAGGGAAAATGTGCAGACTTTTGTAATAACATCTCTTGCAGTCTTTGTAATCTCCTTAGCTGTAGGACATATTCCCAGTGAATGTATATGTAATTTTTATAGGTAAGGGTCTGGTCTCTGAAGCAGGTTCTCCCTCCTTTTTCTAGCAAGAAAGGGGTGTGTAAAGTTTCCTTGGAAAATAGCAACTGAACTATCTAAAATACCTCTCTGTGACAGTAGCACCTCTTCAGCGGCTCCCGTGGTTTGCTGTCTAGGATGGTTTCCCTCCTGTTCTTCCATCTCCTCGTTTGCTGAACTTGGGGGCACTAGACACTGAGAAACTTTAGACTCTGTTATTTCCCATCCTAGAAGCCTTAGTCCCCTTTCGAATCCCTCTTCCCCTTTAACCAAGTGGCACAATCCTGGAAACTCCTTCTCTTAGACAGTAAATGCTGAGCCTTCAGCTTGACTCATTTATTCAAAGACAAGGCCCCCGGGGGCTTACCTCCAAACTGGAAAGAAGGGACTAAGGCTTCGTGTGAATTTCCACTTAGGTTCTCGAAACAGGAATACTCCACCTCCCCCCAGCCAAGAAGCACTCTGCCCACAACAGATGCTCACCCGACAGCCTTCTCTTCCTTCCCGGCCACCGGTGTGGGCCCCTGCCCTCTCCCGCTCCGTGCACCTCACGGCCGGCTCCATTCAGCTCTGGCCAGTCGCTGCGCTTTGGACCCAAGATGTCAAAGTGAGTCTAAGAACAGGCTCGTAACTACATTGTGGGCAAAACTACCAACGTAGTCGACTTCCTTTGAAGCCCTTACGTTCTGTGAAGGGTATTCTGGGCATATATTTACCCAGATCCCGACCTAAAGTTGAACAGGAGATTGCTGTGATCAAAACCCGTTTTTCCCATGGTACACCCTCCCCACTTCTCCAATCTCATTCTGAAATGGGAAACTAGAAGCCGGGAAGACTCCTGTTTTAAAGGAAGTTGCTGGACCCCCTACTCCGTGCCTAGAAACTTCATCTCCCAGCCTGACATCGGGGAAGACTGGCGGGCGCCAGGCACTAGTCCCAGCCTTCTAGCCCAGCTGTGTGTGTGGGTGCTCCATCCCTCCAAGACCAACCCAGGCATCTGCTCAGGAAGGATAAACTTCCCTGGAGCTGAAGAAGTTCAGCCTGTCCCAGGCTGCAGTGAGGAGTGACGATTTAAGCACCTCAGAGGGATGGAGTCTGGGTTCTCAGTAAGAGGAGGCATCCTTGACCAGCCCCGGTTACGCTTGCTCATCCCCAGAGGTTCTTCATGCCCATTTCCAGAGATGTTGCAGCACAAAGAAGCCGGGCTCCTCCCAAGGCCGAGTCACTCACACAGCAGAGAAAGGCTGTGTGTACACATTCCTTCAGAACTGGTTGAGAAACTGCTTCAGGGCTCACCGTTTCAGGAAAGGTTTCTGGAGAGGAGTCAAAGTCAGTGTTCATTATGTAGCTGCTTCTTAGGACTCGTTTCCATTGATGAGGTGGGGGTGGGGGGCGGTTATATAGTCTGAGGCAGACCTTGCCTTGGTCTAATTTCAACACCGTTGCCCCGAAGCTGCTCTGCCTTGCCCGATCTTAGAAAGCTCTAGGATGGTCTTTTCTCCAGGCCCCAAGCCCTCGACCTGCCAGCAGTATAACTGTTGATTTGCCCTGGACATAGGCCACCCGGTTGGTGCTTTGCTTCAGGCTGAGAGGCTGTGGAGTGGTACCCCCATGATGCACACAGGTCCGCGCACAGACCCCTCCCTCCCCCTGCCCTTTGGGAAAAGATCTTTATTCCTAGACGATGACTTGGACCCCTTTGTCCAAAGGCCATTGGGCCTTTCCCCTCCTGCCCTGACTGCCCAGCCTGAGTGTTTGCAAAAGGAACTTGAAATTGACCAAGAGAGGGCAGGAAGCTCTCTGAGCAGAGCAGCACCTGCTCTGTCCTGGTTGGCGCCACCCTCATTCAGGGGACAGGCAGAAAATGGGACCTGGCTTCTGTTTGCCAAAACGAACTGTCCAGGAAACAGTGCTCTTTGACCCCCGTGCTTTCCTCCTCCCCAGCACGAAGATCTGGAAAGGAAAATAAGGGGCAGCACCAGGAGCTTTTGGAAGCTGAGGGTCCAAGGACACAGGTGGTCCTTTCGTCGAGGGGGAAGCCCTCTTTACTAGAGAGAGAGTCCCTGTGAAATTAGCCACATGATGAATCCGTCCCCCAGCTGGGGACTGGCTGTGAGTTCTGTAAGATGGGTCTGCACATTTCGTGCTCAGGACTGTCTCTGGTGAGGAGGGATCTGGAGTTCTCCAGTGTGTTCTGGATTTAAGAGGTGGCTTGACTTTCGAATGTAAAACTGTGCCTTAGCATCACCCTGTCCAGTCCCCCTGGGGCAGCTGGTGGTGTCCAGGAGAATGGATTCCTGCTCCAGATTTAGATGCTTTTATTTGTTTGGGGGTGTTCCTGTCTTCTGCTCTGCAAGTTAGGAGGGGGGGCCAAAGGTAGTGTCCCAGGAGACTTGTGCCACAGCTTGTTCGCAGTTTACACAAACTCAACTTTAAAGCTCCCGAGTAGAATCTGGCCGGCAAACTCCAGCTGCAGCGTATGGAGCTTCTAGATGTTCTCTCCCTTGAATGGGTGTCAGTGTCACTGAAGCGCGGGAGGTGGGGGGGTGTGTAGGAGAGGGGCAGCTGTTCTCCCTCTTCCTGGGAGAGAGAGGGTCTAAGCTAAGGGGTGGTGAGCTCAGGCCGTTTCTCTGCTCCTGCAGGAAGGAGCAAGTGGGGTCCCTCTTAAGCAAGCGTGCATTTCTTACCACTAAATGGGTTTTCTTTCTCATCCAAAAGTCAGAACTCCCCGGATTCACACTATACAAGCCAAATCTGAATTCTGAGATTCTAAAATATCTTAAAACCACGAGAGAAAATAGTTCTGGCCCATCCCCAGTCCGCAGCAGGCCCTCAGTTTCTTCCCCTCCTCGGAGTCAGACAGCCCCAGCAAGCGAGGCTCACAGGCTAGTTCCTAATGCACTGACAGGAGCCATCCCACTAAGGACGACTTCTACTCACAACCTGACCCCCGGCGACTCACGCCTCACCCAGCAGGAAGAGGCGTTGATCGAATTGGATATATTTATGTGACTGCGGGCATTCGTGGCTGTCGAGTCTTTGACCATAATGCTTTATGTAATGGGAACTATCTTGTAAACTTGAAAAAAAATAAAGTTTTTATTTTCTATAGTTTGCTCCTGTGTCTTTTCTGAATAGGATCAGCCCAGTTGCCCAGCGGAGGAGGATCCTAAGAAAGGCTTCCTAAAAATCCGAAGAGCTTGTTAGCAAGTTAGCATCCTTTTAATAACTGAATCCTTAATTTCACCAAAAAAGTAGAAACAAACTAACCAACCATTTGGTATAAATAGGTGTACATGGGAAAATAAGAAGTATTTTAAGGTTATTTACAAGGGAACGTTTATTAATTGTGTCTAAAATATATTGCTTTTTAAAGTGTAGGACTGGTGTGGCAGCAGACTTCATGCGCTGTCACCTGTGCTGACATTTAATGATTACAGAGCAGTGACTTGCTGTGCTGAGCTTAAAACGCAAAAGCAATAAACCAAGAGACTGACATCAAACCTCGTTTGATTGGGCCTGATTTCACGTCACGTCAGCTGCTTCCTCTCATTTCATTTCTTCAGAGTTGGGTCTGGCTGTCCATTATTGGCCTGGAAAAAGCATTCTTTTGCCTTTTATTTCAGTGAGGGAAATCAGGATTCAGTTCTAGCTTGCAAGTACCATCCATGTCAGACTACAAGGTGTATTTTTTTCCCAAAATAACTACCCCAGAAAAGAGGGGGGTTGCGTGTATTCTAGGCATTAAATCTTATCAGAAGGTGCACACTTTGGACCATACTGTAACTGAGCAAACTTGTGAGTGGCTGTAGTCTTACTGGCTCAGAAGTAAAAATGTTACAATACCAGTTGCTTCTCAAGCCCAGAGAGGAAACATCTCCCTCTCCCCTACAATGAGTATAACATTGGCACATTCCTCAAAAAATAAAAAACAACTTGTGGCTGGCAATTCACATTTTTATTCTTCAAAAACAAGTTTCTTGACATTTAAAAAAAAGGATGGGAATCTCCAAAGGAATTTTTATTTTATTTTTAGAGAGGAAGGGAGGGAAAAATTGAGGGAGAGAAACATCAATTGGTTACCTCTCGTGCGCCCCCAACTGGTGACCTTGCCCTCTACCCATGCATGCGCCCCGACTGGGAATTGAAATGGGTGACTTTTCAGTTTGCAGGCCCATGCTCAGTCCACAGGCCCATGCTCAGTCCACTGAGCCACACCAGCTGGGGCTTCAGAGGAAATTTCTAGCTGCATGTGGCATCACTCATCTTTTCAAAATTCTTGATTCTATAAACTTTTAGGCATCTATACAAACGAAGCTCTTTAGCTTTTCAGGCAATGCAGCATACATTGTTTGGAGTTGATTGCATACACACTGCTGTCATTTGACAACCTCATCTAGAGGATAGATCGGAACTTAGGCAAGAAATCAGAAACATGTTTTGGGATTTTCTCAGGGGAAAATAGGGAACTGCCTAAAACTTTGCATCTCCCATTGACATATTTGGCATCCCTGACCCAGCCCACACATGACAGGCAGAAATGTGGAAAAGTAAAGGGAGCAAATCCTGGGTTTAGTGAAGCGTAGGGCCTGTGTCCAAGGCTAGGCTGGGCACTCAGCCCACAGCCCGGGGTCTCGACCCGTGACATTCCTTATAAGTTGGAAAAGACCGATTCCCCTGTTGTATGTGTGCATGTGTGTGTTTAAGTGTATTCACTTCAAAGAGTGGACCTTTTCCTGAGTTCATGACATCTTTTTTTTAGAGATGATAAAGATAATAATGATACTTTTTACTGCCTTTTTTACGTTGATTAGTTTGGTGACCACGATGACCATTTTACTGGCCCATGAAATTCAGAAGTCTGGAAATCCTTTCTGCTGCTACTACTTTAAGTGTGTGAAAAGCTCCAGCATCCCAGAGCCTCCCCCTGCTCCCAGCCCTCAGCTCTGTCGTCCTTGGCAGTTGGCCAGTAGTATAGCTGCTGCAAGTCCTCCTCCGTACGGTCACTGCCGACTGGGTGTCTGGGGTAAAATTCACACGCGTCGCTTTCTCCCTCATGTCCTTGAGGGCCTGGTTTCTCAGGGAGGCCTTCCCTGGCCATTCTACATAAAATTGTAACTCCCACACAACACACGAAAATACACATACTCTCCCTGTCCCCTTCCCTGCTTTTTCTTATAATACTTAACACTATCCGACACACTGTTTTACTTATCCTATTTATTACGTCTGTCTCCACTAGAATGAGTGAATAGTGGAACTGAAGACTACCCTGAGTCCCATCACAGTGGTGACTGTTTTCTTGTGTCCCCAGCACCCTTTTCCTTTTCCTGTTCCTGTTTCTCTAAACCTGAGACCTCTCTGAGCAGCAACAGGTTGCACCTCCCTGGCACCATTCCCCACTTCCACGTACCCGTCACCTCATCACTCACACCCTCCCTGAGCTCCCAGCCTCAAGACCTTCACCTGGGCTCTCGTATTCCCTTCCTGGTACCAGAGGTGGTTTTTGTGGCTCCCCCTGCCAGGCCCAGCAGCAGAGCACGGGTCAGTCCAGATCTGGGTTCTGATGCCCACCTGAACCCTCAACCCCCACCAGCCCCCCAGCTCCTGAAACTCAGAGACCCAGGTTGAGCAGTCCTGCCCAAGCCAGCCCTCTTCTCTGTGCCAGGGCCTTCCCCGACTCCGAGCAGTGAACTTGGTGTTCCCGACCCCTTCTTTCCAGGCGGCTTTGAATTCTGCAGACTTCATTTAATGACACAACTAGTTTGGAGGATTTTATAAGCTTTTTAATAATAACCCAGTAATACTGTTCGACAAAAACACATACATGTCTCTCACGTGCAGACACAGGCACACGCCTTCCTTTCTCTCACAATAGACTGAGGTAGAAAGTACATTGCCTAAAGCATAAAAAATACTCAACGGCTGAGTCACGGCCCAGACCACAGGCTCACAAGGCACTTGGTTGAAAGGCGGCCCTTTGAGAGCAGGGGCGGGGGCTGGGCCAGTGGCACTAAAGCCTTGGAGGGGCTGGTGGGGGCCAGCCACTGGGCATGCCTGGCTTCCGGCAGGAGAGCCTCCGCAGGAGCAGCGGAGACGGTAGGGTGGCAGCTGGTCTTGCTCCAGGCTCCAAGAATAGAAGGATGCTCCCGGCACATCAACTGCTCCCAGTAAACATCTGGCGAGTGAACTGAACGACCGAGGTGGGGCAGGGGAGAGAGGACTCTGGAAGACACATCCTGGAGGTCTCAGGACCTTCTCGCCCAGGACAGGGGACTTAAGGGCCGGGAGGGCACCTCCACCGATTACGTTAGAGGTGGAAATACCCACACTGGGATGCCTTGGGCACCAGATACACTGACTGGGAGAAAGAGAAAAGGGGATCTCTTCTTTCCTCCCAAAGTGCTTCATATATAATTGAGGCCCTTGACCCCCTAAGGCTTGGCCCTCCTCATCTTGTTCTTGTCCTTAGAGGGAGGGATTTGTCTCACTTAGCTCTGGTCTTCAGTGCCTGGCAAGATCAGGCATCAAGCACTTGTTGAGTGAATCAAGGCCCACAGCAGCATAATTATCTCCTGCATTCTACCAGTTGACTCCGTCTATCCTTTCGTCCCCTGGCTGAATCTGACCCTGCTTCAAAGGACCCCGTTTACCTCTCTCTCCCATGGAGAAGCAGCCTCATCCCAAGCCTTAGGGAAAAAATTCTGGGCCAAATGGACCATGCGCCTGTTCTGAGGCAGCTGATACAACTGAACGCAGCGGAGGCTCCGGGTCCCGTCCACCTCAGCAGGCTCCCAGCGGCAGCTAGGGTGCAGCCAGCGGTAGTAGACAAGCCGCAGAACCAGACCCAAAAGGAAGCTGATGCCGCTCGCAGGCAGCAATATGTGCAGCAGGATCCCACTGGGCAGCCAGGCACTTTGTGTTACCCAGCTGATCACCATGAGAACGCTGTCACTCAGGAGAAACACTAGGTGGATGATGCTGCGGTCTCGAGTGCGACCCTCAGCCACATTGAACCAGGCAAAATAAAGGATGGTGGCCACCACTGCCCGGTACAGCCACTCAGAACAGGGATCCAGCATAAAGTTGGTGCCCTGAACCCAGACCCAGAACAGCAGCACCAGCCACAAACCCAAGAAGTGCAGAGTCACGTAGCGGGGGAAGAGGGCTGAGAACAGGGCCACAGCCAGGACTCGGGGCCACAGCAGCAGCAGGTTCCACAGGAAGTAGATCACGGAGGAGCCCAGCCCCAGGACGGGCTTGGAGGGGAGGCAGGTGCGCAAGGCCCGGTGGTAGTCAAGCAGTGCCCACGAGATGCCAAAGAAGGACGTGCAGATGCCGGCCCCTACAGAGAGGAAGAGGAAACAGCTGACCTCTGTGGGCAGGCTGCCTGGCGCTCCCCAGGTTCTGGGGGCCCTCATAACCACCCTGAGGCGGGTATCAGAACCCTCAATTTGTTGAAGGGAAAACTACAGCCGGGGAGCCAAAAAGAGACCTGGGATTCAAATACGGGGTCTGCCCTTCATTCAACCACAAAGCTTTACTTTTCAGGTGCTACCACAGTGATATCTTTCGGGGATGAGAGGGGGAGTGACGTACACGTTCTCATCTGCACCCCTGGGTCTCGACCACACGCCTGCATGTTAGAGAGCCCTGTAACCCTGTCTTTCCCGGAAGAACCCAAGTCTTTCTTGGCTCTGATATCAGCAGTCCCAGTTCCCCCGTCTTAGTTTCAGAAAGGGAAGCTGGAAACCCCAAGAGGTGGCAATAGGCCTCTGGCTGTCAGGATGGAGCGTGCTCACTCCCCTCTCCGCCATGCTTGAACTGGGCCCTCCCTCGTCATGACCTTCCAAGACTCGAAGTTTACAGTGGCGATCCTGTCCAGCCTCCTGGTTGTCCACCGTGGACTGGAAGCACCAGGGCCTCCAGGGACGGAGGGAAGCAGCACCGAACTGTCTCTAGAGGGCTTCCTCCCCGCCCCCTTCCCACCCCATCCATTCAGCAGCTGTCTACGGGGGCCCTGTTTTGGGCCAGGAACCCACACCCAGCCTGGAGTCACATCTATGGCCATCCTCCTTTCTGACTCCCCTCCGCACTCCAGGTCTCAGCAGGACTGGGGGTTCTCCCAGCCTGCCCAGCACGCCGCATCCTCTGACCGGGACAAGCCTTGCCCGTGATGTTCCTAGCCCAGGGTGGGCTAGGAGCACATACCCCATTTCTTCTGGCCTACTCCTCCTTACCCTGCAAGTTCCAACCTGAGCATCCCCTATAGACACCCATCCGGACCCCACCCTACTCACTTCTGTCTGGAATAATTATCTAGTTCCTCATCTCTGAGCTCCTTCAGGGCAGGAAACAGATTCTGCTCCCCTGGGATCCCCAGGTAGCCCAGTACCTGGCACATAATAGCAGTTGAATAAATGTTCGCTAAATCAAAAGTTGGAAGAGTCTGTCTCTTCCCTTGTTCCTCTCCCCTGGCCCATACACATACTGTAGACTGTAGCCATTTGTCCCTATTCCTCGACACCCAGGGCCCTCAAATAGACAAAAACATGTGCCCACTGAGTGGTATGTGTCCCGAGGCAAATCACTTCACCTTTCTGTACCCCTTTCCTCTTGTGCAACATGGAGATAAACACGGCACCAACCTATAGGGCTGCGAACGTGCACACTGGCAACAAAGCACCCTCCACAGTGCCCAGTGAACAGTGGGCCCTCTATCACGATGGCTGCTATCACTGGCTTTTCAATCAAGACTACAGACTCAAATTTGCAAGCTGAAAGTGTCCTTGGAGATCAAGTCCAACTCCACCTTGTACACTGGGGAAACAGAGGCCGCAGAAGGGAAGACTCTGCAGGTCACACAGTGAGTGGTGCCAGAGTGGGGACTGGCTCCTTGGGAGGCTGTGGCATTTACAGCAGGGGTTGGCAGGGGTGTGGCAGAGAAGGGGGAGCCCCAGACCTTGAATCAGACACGAGCTGGAGTCTCAGCTGGGCCACCAGCCAGTCTGTGACCTTGGGCACGTTACTTCCCTTTCACAGGGGAAACGCTTCCCGAAGCTCCTCAGCGTACAGACTGCTCCCCTGGCTAAGAAGGCACCTGCGTCTCCCTTTTCGGATCACTCAGCGCATTGTAACTGCCGGCCTTACAGTCACCCAGCCGGGCAGGGGCTGTGTCCTTGTTCACGGCCGCGTCCCTACTACAGGGACAGGCACAAAGGTGCTCGATACACCGCTTCCTGACCAATAAGTTGCCTATTATGTCAGACACCCTACATACTTTATCTGTTTTCTTCAATATAGTAAAAATTATCATTAAGATTTGTTATGCTCCAGGCGCTAGGCTTGATATGCGTCACCTCCCTCAATCCTTCCATCAGTCCCATGAGGTGGGACTATTTGTTATGTCCACTTTACAGATGAAAACTAACGGATACCCAGAGAGGCTGAGTCAGTGCCCAAATTCATACGGCTGGTGTTTGGACTGGAACCTGCCCGACCAAAGGGTGCGCCCCTATTTTCTAAGCAGTCCTCCTAACAGAGTGAAAGCATTTCTGATGTCTGTGGGAAACCTTCCCACGAATGAAAGCGGGACTAGCCGCTGGAAGTACGACTCACACTGGTAGTACTCGGTCTGGCCACTCTGCAGCACGATGGCCAGCACCAGCGTGAGCTGTGGCGTCTTCTCCAGGAAGGTCTCGAAGAGCCGCAGCATGCTGATGTCCATGGAGAGGAAGTCGGCATAGGCCAAGTCGAACTCGGAGGGCACCTCCTGCTGCCACACCAGCAGCCCTTGCCGCAGCCCTTGCATGCACCTGGGTACATACAGGTGAGCCAAGGGGCCAGGTTAGTGTCCTGAGGCATTCCTCCTTCCCCTCCTTATCAGGTAGATGCCGACAGGCTCCAGTCCCAGCTCATCACTACTAACACGCTGTGGGGCTCTGGACAAGCAACACAACCTCGCTGACCTTGGTTCTTCACCTGTAAAATGAGGGTAAATACGACTACCGCAGCTCCTGCTGGCCAGGCACTGTCCCAGGTGTATCACAAACCCTGTCTCATTCATGCCTTAGAACATCCCCATTTTACAGATGGGAGAATAAAGGGCTAATAAGTAAATATCAAAAGCATATGGTTAAATGGCCTAAGGTGATTTTTTAGCAAACCTAAAAAATTCTTAGGATCCTGTGGGGAAGGGGTGTCATACTGCAGCAAAGTTCAGAGAGTCCAGAGGTTGGACAGACAGGACTGGGTGACCCACCGGCATGAGTGGGGAGTGGAAGACACAACAAGGCTTCCCCTACCCACAACTGTTCTCGTTTGGCTCCTGGGGGGTGAGCCCAGTCACTCACTGAGAATTCAAGCATCAGAGGTGTGCTGTTACCTCCCCTGGGCGGACCTGACAACACAGCAAGGGAGCAGGCAGGCAGGCCTGGGTTGGGGCTCTCCCTGAGCAGGAGCCTCTGCCTCTGTTTCCCCAATGCCACAGCAGGGCCCTGCCTCAGCCTAGTCACAGGCAGACACAGAGACTGTTTTCAAAACCCAAGCTCAGTACACTGTCTGCCTCGCACTCAGCAGAAATCAGAGAAGGGAAGATACATGATGCAGTTACGGACTCAGGGCTCACCAAGGCCTGCCAAGATGGTAATAAGTGTGCCTCCTCATGCCCACCTGGAGTTTCACTGATGCAGGCTCTCGGGCAAAACTGCCACAATGAGTGCCTCTCGCCCACTCCTGGACACTCAGTGCAGGTTGGTCAAGGCAAGAGCTGGTGAGAATCTGTACAAATGGATTCAAGAGCAGATCCTGGCTCCAGCCACCCCATCCCAACCCAGACCACATCGTGTCCTGACTTGATTGCACAACTGGCCCCTTGGTGTCAGTCCCCCCAACTCTAGAGGGCCCTGCCAGGTCTGGAAAGGAGCAAACCCACGCAGACTTTCCGGGATCGGGCCTATGCCCAGCCCTGCTTGGCTCCAGGGACATGGATGAATCAGACCCCATCTCTGCCCTCTTGCTAGGTCAGAGTGTATGTGGGTGGGGCCGGGGAGGAGATGCTCTGGGAGAATACAATTGGGAAAGATAGGGCGAGGGGCACTGAGGGGTGGGGGGACAAGCCCTGCTCTGGGGGTCACGGCTGCTGAAACTCTCAGGATGGCCCAGGTAAGCATGAAGCTGGCTGATGTTTGCACACAATCCACAGGTCTCGTTTCACTTATTCCTTTTCAAACAGAGGCAGGCACCATGACCATCCCCACTGGGACAAAGAGTTAACTGAGACCCAGAGGGGTCAAGTGACTGCCTGGGGCCCCATCCTCTGCTAAAGGGGACACTCCAATAGAGCCCATCAGCAGCCAAGCCCTGTGTTCTTCCCTGCACCTCTCAAAGCAGGCCTGCCTGCAAACCTGTCTCTTTTTAACAGAGGAGCAAACCGAGGCTCAGAGAAAGACAGGAATGAGGTCACACAGGTGGCAAAGCTGGGACTGGAACCCAGAGAGGTCTGACTCCGAATCATGCCTTTCTTCTCTGGGCCAGTTTCTTTACCTGTGCCAGGAAGAATAGGGCTAGATGAGCCGGAGTTACCCTTCTTTAAGGAGCGGGCAGCTCCACCTGTGCCCACGGGATACCTCCCCATCCGCTTCCCTTGTACAGGGGCGCTCACCTGTACAGGTAGCCCAGCTGCAGGAGATGCAGCAGCGCCAGGCAGCGGCCTGAGGGCTGCGATGAGTGCAGGTCAGTGGGGTCGGCGCGCATCCAGACCCAGCTGAAGACTTGGAGTACGACCGAGGAGAGGCCCAGCAGCGTCAACACCAGTGTGGCCCACAGGTAGTGACCGCTGAGCACATATTGGCTCACGGCCCACAGGTCGGAGCCCAGATGGGTCAGGAAGGCAGAGATGCCCAATACGCCCAGGATCAGGTCCCAAAAGAGAGTGGTTCGAAGTGACCAGGGCATGGCCTGCAGCCCTCTCCCCCTCCTTCCCTTCAGGGCTGGGACTCGCCTTCCCAGCCGGGTCCTACCTCGGGAAGGAGGTGGTCACAACATTTTGGGCCCCCAGGGCCCGCGCCTCCCGGGCAAGATTTCCAGGCCCCGCCCTGTCCGGGGAGGAGCGAGGCCCGCGGACTCCGCCCCTGCCTCTCTGAGACCGGAAGGCTGCCCGGGCCACGCCTCTGCAGCCAGCCCAGGGATGCCCCGCCCAGTCCCCCTGAGTCCCGAGGACTGTTAAGTCCGAAGGCGGGCGGTCCGAGCTGCACTGCCTTTAGTTTAGCAGGCTTCTAATTGCCTTGTTTTGCATTTGAGGTTCCAGGAGCTCCACAACGGCGAAAATGGCCTGGAGATTAGCGCCCAGGCTAGAACTGGGACCTGTCACAATGCATTGTTGGGAAATAAAACAGAAAGGCCTCTTCTCATCCCAGATGGCGGGACTTCCTGAACTAAGTGTGCCTCCAGTTCAGGCCGTGTTCCAGGGAGACTGAGGGCACAGGATCAAAGAGATGCGTCTTCCTGGCGGCTCATTTTACTCCCATTATCCGCGGAAGGACGTTTGATAACTGCGAGGGAGTTGCTTTAAACATTATTTACATAGCGAAAGGATAATACACAAAATAAGATGCATAATGAGCTTTTTTTTTTTTACATAAAAAACGTGAAACTTGGAAGAAATGTGCTTGCGGTAGGGTCTTTGGGCTGCATTTCGTGTCCTGGCTATCCCATCCTCCACTCTGTGGACGTCGGGAAACTGGAAAAGTCCAGACCTCAGTGAGTGGCGCGGGCTCCAATTTACCCAGAGGAAGGCGAACCCAGCGATCCGTTAGGCGGCGCCCAAGGTCACCGCCCGAGCAGCGCGCACAGGCCGAACAGCGCCGCCAGCAGGAGCGGGAGCGAGCACGTCGGAGCAGTCCCGAGGGCTCGCAGGCAGGCGGTGTACGCGTCAAAGGCCACCTCGCGCATCGCACACACGTGTTCGTCGCGGCACGCCTCACTGCAGACCCTTTTGTCGTAGCTGACCGAATTGTAGACATAGTAGCGCTGCAGTGTGCCCTGGTCTCTGGCGATGCGGCCCAGCGCCGCGTGCATGGAGCTGACGCTTGCGTTGGGCACCCCGTAGGCCTCCGTCAGCCGGTACTCGAGTTCCCAGCGCGCTGACCCTTGCTGGTTAGCCTGGCTCAAGTTCATGAAGTAAGTCACCATGTCCTAGAGATAGGACACCAGACGGGTTGGCCGTGAGCAAATGCCTGCGGCTGCCTCCCATCCCACACCTCCTCCTTGCCCCCAGATGCTATATATCCGTAAAAATGACTACTATTAGTTAATGAGCATGTAATACTTACGAGGTCTGTGTGTGCATGTGTGGCAGACATCTGATTGAATCTGCTGAGGTAACTTTATTATTGCCATTTCACAGATGAGGAAACCGAGTCCTAAAGAGGTTGATTCCTTTGGCCAGGGGCCTACAGGTGTTCAGTGGCCAAGGCAGGAGTGAAACCAGGTGGTTTGCCCCATGGCCTGTGCATTTTGTGTCCCACAAGCTCCCCAGTACATAAGATGCTCAGTAAATGTTTAGAGAATAAATGGATAAAAAGCAACTTAAAAGAAGTAGGATGGAGTACCTGGCTGAGAGAGGTTATAGAATTGTGGTTGCCTGGAGGCTTGGGATACACCCAAGATCCCTAGGACTCAGGTGCATCTTCAGGACTAGAATCTATCCTTAAGGATTTATCTGTCCAACGCTTCCCACTTAAATTTGTAGATCTGCTTCAGGTCACTAGGGGGGAGGGGGAAAGAGGAGTTGCCACTATGTATGGTAACTTCCTGCCTCCCATTGGAAATGAAACAAAGGAGGCCCAAGGAGGTCAAAAAGCTGGTGAGTGGTGGAGGCGGGATTCAAACCCAGGTCTGTCTGACTCCCTCCCTGAGGAGGATGTGAGGCATGTTGGTGGGGTGGGATGCAGCAGGGAGGAGGGAATGATCCTCTCGCTAAGGCCCTCTGAGCGCCCATGGAGACAAGAGGCCGTACTCTTAAAAATTCTCAGACCTCCTCTCATCCCTATTTATTCCAGAATCGGGAACCTAGGTTATCACATCCAGTTTGTGGTTTTCAGGGGCCTTTCTCAACTCTCAGTTTAAATCTCAGTACCCACATCTTCCTGGAGCTCCAGCTCGAACACCCAGCTTCCTCCTCCTCTCTCGGCATTTTCACTTGGACGTCATTTAGACATCCTGAAGTGAACAGGTCCCAAACCAGATTTCTTATCTTCCCTCCAAACCCTGCTTCTCCCGCAGTGACCCCGTTTCAGGCGATGGCAACTTCATCCTTCCAGGTTTTCAGACCAAAGCCTGGGGGTCCTCCTCAATCGCTCCTTCTCTCACCCCACTCATCCAGCCTACCAGCAAATCCCGTCTGCTCTGCCTTCAGACTACTCCCAGGATCTGGCACTTCTCACCACCCGACAGCTACTGCTCTGGCCCACATCACCATCACCTCTCCATGGCTAGTGTAGTCACCTCCTAACTCGTCCTCCTGTTTCCGTTCTTGGCCCCTGCAGCCTGTTCTCTGCATGGCAGACCTGATGATTTTGTACATTTTATAAGTCAGCCTATTTAATTCTTCCACACCAAACCTTCCACATCCAGAGGCCTACGAGATCTAACCTCATCCCTCCCGCTCCCTCCTGTGCCCTCCTCTGTGGCCACACTGGCGTCTTGCTCTTCTCCTAACACACCAGGCACATTTCCACCGCAGGGCCTTTGACCGGCTCTGCCTCCACTTTCCCCAGATGCTCAATCTGTCAATTTACTCAGAATTGAAATGTCATCCTATCAGTGACACTTCCCTGCCACAACTATCTTAACAGCACACGTGCGCGCGCACACTCATACTCTTCTTCTCTGTTCTCTTTTCTCCGTAGCTCTTGTCCATGCCTTACTTTAACTCATTCGTTTACTGGCTGTCTCCTGTAAGCATGCCAGCTCCAGGGGAGCAGTGGCTGTTCATGTGCACTTAGGTATCTCCTGAGCTTGGCCCAGGGCCTGGCGCATGGCTGACAGCTAATACATTTTGTTGAATAAATTAAGGAATGATATCTCTTTGTCATTTCGACAGTCACAAGCACATCTCAGGAGGCAAGGGGGTGCTTGCTGAGCTAGGGACCTGCATCAGCTGCAGCATAATCAGTGCAGAGAAGACAGACGTGGGCCAGAGCGCATGCTCGACTACCAGGCCGGGGAGATCCGTTTCACCTTGGGGACACTGGGGAGCCATTGAAGATTCATGAGCAGAGAGAGAGAGAGAGAGAGAGAAGTGCTTTGGAAAGATTAGTCCTTTCTGTAGTCCGTGGCAGAGGGGCTACTGCAGGGCAGTGCTGGAGGCAGAGAAATCGGGGAGGAGGCCGTGACAATGCTCCAGGGCAAAGCGGGGTATGAGGAAGACGACAGGACCTGATTTGGTGGCAGGATTTGGAGATACCTCCAGGGATCTGATCCTGAGCTCTGTAAGGGTGGACAGACCTTGCCCTTCCTGAGGTTCAGTGGCCATTAGAGTGCGGATTAGCTGGGAAAGAGGGAATGTGGTGACGCACTCAGTTCCCGCCCTCTCTCCTCCTCGAGCCCCCGCAGACCCAGGGCTTCTGACCTGCAGGCTCAGTGTGGCTCGGTCGTATTCGAACACCCGGATGCCTGGATTGTTGGCCCCGTTGACTACTCCAGGTAGTGTGGTTTTCCACGGGGTGACCCCGGGGGTCAGGAACATGGCACTGATGGGGGCACCTTCCAGGAGAGAGACAGCGGGACTGAGGCAGGCTGACAAGAGGAGGGGGCTGGCCGGCTGGCCGGCAGGCGCCCTCCAGGCTGAGTACCTGCGTCGTCGTAGAACATCCGAAAGCTGTCGGTGTGGTGGTGCCCGAAGAACTGCCCTGCGATGACCCGGTGGTGCTTCTGGATCACCTTGAGGTACTTCTCATTGAAGACCTCCCGGAACCACGCCTTGTTCCGTGTCTTCTCAAAGAACCCAGGGGGCACGTGGCCAATAATGTACACCTGTGAGGAAGGGGGCCAGGAGCGGCTCAGAGACGGCCTCCCCGCCCCTTCATTTCCACCTCTCAGAACATGCCCACCTCCCCAGAGGCACGCAGACAGGCGCAGACGTACCTTCTCCCGCAGTCCTGTGCTTGCCTTCTCCCGGGCAGGTTCCAGTAGTCCCCGTGCCCAGTAACGCATGCACACGTGCTTCCCCACCCTCTGTGGCTTTGCCCAGGCTGTGTCACCACCTGGAGCACACTTCTCACGTTCGCTTCTGCAAGTCCTAGTCAGACTTCAGACCCAGCTCAAAGAGCACCTCCCTGTGAAACCTTGCCGATCCTCACAGACTGGCCTCTCGGAGAACTCGGGCGCTGTGGCTAAACTTCCCTTGAATGACTGTGTAGCACGTGCTGTGTGTTAATGTGTGACCACGCCTTACGTTCCTTGAGTCGCTCAGCTAGCAGTACCTGGGCCCTTGGCCACCAGTGCGAGAGGTAGAGTGATGGTGAGGGAGAGGACAGCGAGGAGCGTGAACTTCAAGTCAAACTACAGCTTGGACACCAGCATTGGGTTTCTGCTCTGAGCTTCAGTTTTTTCACCAGGAATAGCAACTAACCAGAGGAGCTTGGAGAGTTAAATGAGATCATCCACAGTGAGTGCTCAGAAGCACCAGCTGTGAGATCCTGCTGAAATGTGCTGTTGTTTAGTGCAGGGACTCAAGCAAACGAGACACAGGACCAACCAGTCCTCGGGGAGCTGCCAGCCCCGCAGACTAGGTGGACACACCTCAAGGGCAGGGCATCCCCTTGAGGTCTAGCCCACAGCAAGGCTGCAGGCATGGAGTGTGGCAGTAATGGAAAGAGCACTGGCCCTGGCTGGTGTGGCTCAGTGGATTGAGCGCTGGCCTGAGAAACAAACAGTCGTCAGTTCGATTCCCAGTCAGGGCACATGCCTGGGTTGTGGGCCAGGGCCCCATTAGGGGGTGCTCGGGAGGCAACCACGCACTGATGTTTCTCTCCCTCTCTTTCTCCCTCTCTTCCCCTCTGTAAAAATAAATAAATTTAATTTAAAAAAGAAAAAAGAATAGAAAGGGCACTGGACTTGCAGCCTGAAGACTGGGCTTCTGGCCTCGGCTCCACTACTTGTTGTGTGACTTGAGATCGTCACTGCCCCTCGGGAGCCTCGCATCTGCAATGGGCTTTGGAGGCCCAGCCTCACAGGCTGTTCTGAGGGTGGGAGAAACCCTTCCTGGTGCCGGGCTGATGAAGACCCTCTGTGATGTGCGCATCTCGCATCTCGAGAGAGGGGATGAATTTGTGCTGAGGTGGGAGACTTGTTCAGGAAGTGACTCCGGAGTGGGAGGGGAAGAGGTAGGAGCCCTCACCATTTCCCCAGCTCTGGACGCGTTGCTGAGCACATCTTCCAGCCACTGGAACTGCTGGCCAGGGTCAGCCATGCTGGCCGTCTGCTCATTGTTGCTGTAGTACAGATTGGTGTTGAGGACCACAATTCGCCCAGTCCTCCTCGGCCCTGGCAACATCTCAGTATAGAATGCACCTAGGACATCACAGCCACAGAAAACATGAAGGGGTCCTCTGCCTCTGACACACTCTGCCCCCTTTACTTCACTCTGCCACCTTATCCCTCCCTTGATCCTCCCTTCCCAGCTTCCCCATAAAAAGAGCATCAAGGATTAATGCCAAAGGCTCTGGAGCCAGGCTGCCTAGGTTTAAGTCCTGGCTCTACCACTTATTAGCTGTGCAACTTAGGAAAGTTGCTTAACTTCTCTGTGTCTCAGTTTCCTCATCTGTATAATGGCAATGACAATGAAGTGTGTTTACCCCTCCTGATGCACCGTCCACCCTTCCCCACTCAGCTCTGTGCCCCAGGAGCTGATCTGTGTGAACTAAATGAGCGGGCTTCTGGGCCACAGGCTTCCGGCTTAGTGTGACCCATGGGGAGCCCTGGCAGCAGGGGACTGAGGAAAGGGAACAGAGTAGGTCAGGGTTACCTTGGGCTAGCAGTGTCTTTGGATCAGTTGTCCTCAACCAGGTGATTTTGTCCCCCAGGGAACATTTGGCAATGTCTAGAGATGTTCTTTGGTGATTGCAATGGGGGTGTTACTGGTATCTCGTGAGAAGAGGTCGGGGTGCTGCTAACCATCCCACAGTGCACAGCACAGCTCCCACAGCACAGACGGGCCGGCCCAAAGGCCAGCGGTGACAAGGTCGAGAAACCCTGCTTGAACTGAATTGAACTTGAACTGCCCTCTCCTAGGTTTTTTGCTAGAAGTCTAGTAACGCACTGAGGGTAGTGCCTGGAACACAGTAAATGCTCGGTAAATATTCACTTTTGATCCTCATTAGTGCCATGGGGTTAAGAGTATGGGAGTCAGCCCTGGATTCTGCTCCCAAGTCCACCTCCTCTACGCTGGGTGACCTTGGCCAAGTGACTTGGTACCTTTAAGTCTCAGTCTCCTTATCTATAAAAGGGGGGTATCGTGAAGACGGATTAGATCAGACCTTGCTAGGTAATAAGTGTGTGTAGTAGCAAATGGTATTAGTACCTCCTTTGAAGAGAGCGATGGATTCATTACTGAGCCAGGGTCTCCACAGTTCTGCTACCTGATTGTAGATATTGTTGCTCCCTGCCGGCAACTGGTTTTTGGGGTGAAAGTCATGATTTCCCAAAGCAGCATATACTTTAGTATCTGGGAGGGCAAGGAGAAACATAAAAATATATACATGAAAGCGCTTGGTGGAGCTGTTAGTCCTTTTCAGTTGGCCGGTGTCATCAGAGCTAATGGAGAAGGGGGAAGGGGGAAGAGGGAAGATCCGCGGGGAGGAAAAGACAGAGATAAGCTGAAAACCTCATTTAATAGAACCTGGTTGAACTTGACTCAGACTGGGGGACGAAGAGCAGTGAGTTCTGTGACCTTGGACCCCACCCCCATTCCCAGCAGACTTTCCCAGTCAGAGAGGAAGCATCAGCCGATGAGAAGGAGAAAGCTAGAAGATCTAAATAATATTCAGATCCCTCATCAGCCCCTTGGTAATTAATGTCCCTTGTTCTCGTCGAGTGCAGAGCCACCTTACTGTTAGGGGAGAGGTCTGGTTCACTCCTCAAGGCCTTAGGAGTTTCACCCACTGAGGAATCGAGAGTGTTTACTGAGCACCTCGTCTGTGCCAACATGTAGACCCGGTGACAGGCACCCAGTCCCAGTCCCAGAGGCCTTGCAGGGCCGTAGGGTTGACAAGCATTGGGTAATGAAAGGTGTGTGGGCTGTCACCAAAAGGGAAAAGCCACTCGCCGTGGAGATGTGTGTGTGTCAGGGATGGGGGTGGAGTCAGGGGAGGCCTCCCTGAGGAAGTGGCCTGTGATCTGGCCCAAGAAGGGGAATGGAGGGGAGCCCCTCAGACTCATTTCCTCCTGTCAGTAGCTTCATTCCTGATTTTATTTTACCACTGCGTCTGGCAGGTAGTAGTTGCTCAGTAAATATTTGACGACAAACAAAAAATTCCTCTGACTTCAGGGAAGGGCCTTGCCCTTATGAGCTTGGCTCACTCCAGGGAGTGACCTCGACTTAATGAGGAAAGAGGCTGAGGCCTCCAATTCCCACTTGGGGAAGTGTCTCCGACAAACCCTTCGTCCTGCAGAGCTGCTAGGTCTGGAAATGCTGAGAGCTCTGCCAAAGGAGCAGGTGGAGCAGGTTGTGGAATTCCCACCAGGAATTGCTCACACAGCAGGAAGCCATCAGTGTCACTGCCTGGAAGAACCTGAGCTCTCTAAAGTAAATGCCAGCAGCGATTAAAGATCCATTTAAACCACGCCCCCCCGCAACAAATTTCTGGAATCTCAAGGGCAGATGAGAAGGGAGAGAATCTCTCCCACGTTTTGCTGCCCCTGTGTGCCAGGCACCGTTAGAAGCTCCTTACAAGTTCCATGAGGTCACAATGTCCCCCACCCCTGGACTTGGGTCTCCCATAGTAGATGCTAAATAAATATTTGCTGATTGACCACATGAGTGATCGGATTTCCTTATCTAATCCTCACAGCTGCCCTCTGGGCAGGTGCCAGTATTCACGTAGACCCCATTCTCCCCGTCAAATGTCATAGGGCTGCAGCCGCAATCACTCACAGTCCCCTTGGGCTCCTAAGTTCTGAAGGAAGGTCTGGGAAGCACCAAGAAATAGCACCTTGGCTAGAAATCAGCATCTCCCAGAAGTCCTAGCAGCTAGGGTGGTTTGAAGGCTGTGGCTGGCAACTCCAGGGACACAGCAGGACACGGGGCTATGCATGAGCCCGTGTGAGACTTCCCCAGGGCTGAAGCCTGTGTATAACCGTGGATGCCTTGAGAAGGGGCAGTGAGAGTCTGGTGTTAGGCAGACAGGGCAGGAGGCAGTGGAATGCCAGGCATTTTCTGTGTGTAGCCAGTGAGCTCTCATGTTCTTTGCAGGTTTGTTAGAAGATGAGAAACAATGGCTGTGAAGTGCCTGGCATGGGACCTTTACCACAGCTGTCGTTGTCAACAAATGAAGGCCATTCCTCTGCATCTTGCTACTATTGTCTCATGGTGCCAGGCGCCACCTGGGGTTCAGGAAATGAGGTGGGGGGCCGATGGCAGGGTCTTACCTGGAAAGGCCTCTCTGATGAGCATGGTCAGGTGTTCCACGATGTCCAGCACGGCCTCCTCTCCCAGCCTCTCATTGGGTACGTGAGGTGTGTCATCACTGCAAAATACCACCAGGCCAGTTTGGTGCTGGCAGCTCAGGATGGGGGACAAGAAAAGTGGGGGGACGCTCTGCTGTGAGAAAAGAGGCCATAGAACTGGGCCTCAGACATCCACTGAAAGGTATGGCCAGGCTCAAGCTGGGTGTCACACAGGACAGAGTTCAAACCCGTGCTATGCCACTGACCTGCTGTGGGTCCCTGGGCTGGTTGTTTAACCTCTCTGAGCCCTCATTAGCTCACCTGTGAAATGGGTGATAATGGTACCTTATGGAGAATGTGTGGACTTCAATAAAGGGGATGATTTTATATATATATATATGAAATGTAGAATATATATATATAAAATGTGGAATAGCAGCTGCTAGGATGTGACTAATATCATTCAGAGGTAAGCTCCAGAGTTCCAGTGCCATCTGCAAGCCTGCAGGGCACTCTGAGTGGAGAACCTGTATGAGTTCTCCGTTCTCCAAGGTGTTGAAGAACTCTGGAGCTGGCTCCAGAGCACGGAGTTCAGATCCACTCTATGGCAGAATCTAGAGCTGACTCAGGACCATGTATGTAATGGTGCCCCCTTCCCCATCTGACGGACCTAAATTGCTGTATCCACCTTAGAAATGCACAGTGAGGGGGGAGAATGGGAGGAGAATGGGGGAAGGTGAGCTTTGGAGGAGGAGCCCCAACAAGCTGAAGCCTTAGGGACTGCTGGACCCCACAGAGCAAGGGAGCTCCGCCCACCCACACTGTCCCGGGGAAGGTAATAAACTTAATGGTACTGATACAGCTGCTAGCAGCTCACCACCGCCTACTTTGTGCCGGCTGTTTTCTGTGCACTGTACCCATAGCCACTAATTTGTTCTTCATAATATGCCCACAGCACAGGTTCTATTATTGTTCCCATTTGGCAGATAAAGAAACCAAGGTACAGAAAGGTGAGGAATTCTGCTGTAAGTGTATGCTACTAGAAAGTGGTGGAGTGAGGATTTGAACCCAGGCAGCTTCAGAGCCAGAGTCACACCCACTGTGACTCTGACACCCTCTCTGGGCAGAAAGAGGAGCATTGTAGCCCAGTCCTCCCTGGGGACAAGCCAGAAATTCAGACATTGGGACAATTTTTTTTTTTCTAGTTTGGAGGATCTAAATCTGTCTGATAGAAAACGCATCCAATCTCTACATATTGTTCCCCCAAAAGGTTGCAATTCTCCCTAGGAAGTCAAATTTCTTTCTTTCTTTTTTTTTTTAAAGAGAGGGAGTGAAACATCAATGTATGGTTGCCTCTAGCACACTCCATCCTGGGGATATGGCCTGCAACCCAGGCAGGTGCCCTGACTGGGAATCAAACCAGCGACCCCTTGGTGCACAGGCTTGTGCTCAATCCATTGAGCTACACCAGCCAGGGCGGAAGTCAAATTTCTTAGACTGAAGAATTACTGAAAGTCCCAGAGGTTGTCTCATACGATGCCATAGATCTCTGCAAGGTCCCAGAGATTTCCCAGAAAAATCACGCTTCTGTGAAAAGGTCATGAATTTCACAAAGCAGCACTTTCCCCAAAGTGACCACATCTTTCAGAATGTCACAGCTTTTTCCAAGGGCCCCTTCTTGGAGAATTCAGAGGCTCCCCCATGAAGAGCACTCTCAGGAGCAGGAGTCCAATCAGGTTCATGGCCTAAAGGTCACACTCATCTTAGGTTGATGTCTGAGCCCAGAGAAGCCTGAGACACTATCACATTTCTGAAGTGTCCAGCCTTGCCCCTCCCCACTGGGTCCATCTGTGGTCATTCCTACTCACTCCCTTGTCACACTGAGGGGGCATCACAGTTGGATCCTGCCTTTTGAGGTGTCCCCTGAGGCTGGAAGAGGGAGCAAGAAGTCAGAGCTCCTGCCAGCCTTCCTCACCAGCTCACAGGTTCGCCACTTCTTGCAGGAAATCCTCCCTAGTCCTCCCAGCTGGAGTCAGGTGCCCTCTGAATTCCCCACCTCCCCCCCAGCGTGCCGCTCTCATCTCTGGGATATACTAGTCGGTGGGCTTGTCTGTGTCACCCACAAGGCTGTGAGCTCCTTGAAGGCAACTTGGGGTCTACATTGTCACAGTTCCCATGGTCTGCCCCAGGCTGGCCACGGGAAGGAGAGAAGGAGCCGAGTGATGAGGACAGCGAGTGCTGAGCGAAGTCGGAGTGTAACAGGGTACAGCCAAGTGGTGGGGGGGGGGGCGGGAAAATGGGGATTTGTAATGGGGTCCGGAACTCAGGGTGTCCAGGAAATATTAGAAAACAATATATATTGGATGTCCTCACCCCCACCAGTCTGAGCTGGGGGATGGGACATGTGGAGCAGGGCCATTGGGAGCTGTGTTGTACAGCAACAGCTTTGCAGCTAACTTCTGTCATGGTTGTTTACCATGTCTATAACCTTTAACTGGCTTCATAGATATGTTAAATAGCTGTGGCCATGCTTTGAGCCAGGGGGTTGGGAGGGACTTCAACCCAGGGTGTAACTGGGAAGAAACTCCCCCTGGTTACAGCACCTATGTGAGAGCTTGAAGATGATTGGCTCCATGCCATGGGGCCACGCCTGCCCGGACTTACTATGGCAGCCCAGTAAAGCTGGAAGGGTGCAGGAATGCTGGCAGGTGTAACTGATTGTGGGAGGAGTCGGAAATGGGGCTGCAGAGGAAGATCCGCGTGGGTATTTAAACCCAGGCGTGGTAGCTATACCAGGACAGGACTATGAGGATTTGGAGGAGTTGGGACCACGTGGCTGTGGCAGGAGAGAATTCACCACATGGCTTGGGAAGAGGTTGGGACCACGCAGAGATTGTGGAGGTGACACAGCAGATGGTGCCAGAACTGAGGGGCTGCTTGAACCACGGACTTCTACTTTTTTTCCTGAGATATGGTCTCCCAGACTGGGCAAAGGGGAGAAGGAAGGACTGTGTGCGTTTGTGGGTATTCTAAAGAACTTTAGTATTTTAATGAAGACATTAAGTCATTACTCTAAGTGTGTATAACTTTTAAATAAATAATTCCTTTCCTTTTCACCAATCTCTAGCATTAACAGATGTACTTCCTCTGGCGGCGGGCAAAACAAACCTAGTACGGTGGGGGGAACCCCCGGAGAAAAGGGGGGTCCTTTTAGTAATAGTATATCGTTCCCCCCACCCTGCCAGGTCTGTTCTGCAACAGGAGAACTCACTTCCAAGGATGGGAGGCAGAAGTGGAGGCTCTGGCTGAGCGGGAATCACCCCTCAAGCTCTCTTCACACAGAGCAGCGCTCTGACCATGGAGAACGCCCTAGGGCCAGGGCAGCCCGACGCTGGCCTGCAGCTGACCAGGCCACGTGGCCCCAACGCCAGACCATGCTCAGCCCTCCTACGCTCTCCCACCCCTGCATTTGGATCCCTAGGGCTTGTGGTGCCTAAAGCCCAGTCGGAGTGGCTGCAATATTCGCCCCACAACTTAACATTTGGGAGTCCTCCTGCTTTCCGCTGAGGCCAGGAGACCAGGCGGTTGAGGGCACAGACTTTGGGTCCGCCACACCCAGGGTCCCTTTGAGCTTCAAGCGAGGACTGAGGAGACAGTGCGGGAAGGTGCCAGGCGGCAGGCAGCACACAGCAAAAACCCGGTGGCGCGTAGCTGTCATGACGGCTCTCACCCTGTCCAGAGGATGAAGTCTGGCTCCGGCTCGATCTCCTTCATGGCGTGGATGGAGGAGTTGATGAGGACCCAGGGAGAGTCACAGAGGTAGTCACCCCAGGGGCCCGAGTTGGGCACCGCCTGGGAGCCAGCCGATGGGCATACCTGGAAGGGGTCTTCAGATACTTTGTAATCAGGGTCGACGTGCAGGTCAGAGATGTGCCAGAACTTCCCTGCAGGGGAAAGGAGACCCTCCTCAGTGCTGGGCCCCCCCAAGCCCAGATGGGCAGGCAGCCTGGGGGAACCCTGGGCTGGAGCAGGGGAGGTTGCGCAGGTGAAAGGGTCCGGAAGAAATGGGCCACGGTATTTGCCCAGGGGAGCAGTGAGTGGAGCGGAGCACGGGCTTAGCTCTCTGTCCCTAGCCTGGGGCCTTTGACAAGGTTCTCTCCCTCTCCCCACCACAGCGTCAGCGTGAGGGATTGGGCTGAAGTGTGACCCTCAAGAAGCCTGTGGAAATTCTAAGAAAAGTGCTTGCCTTAAAGCAGAGGTGGGAGGTCAGGGTTAAGCCCTCAGGCTCTAGAGCCACATGCCAGCTGTGCGGCTCTGGGCAAGTCACCTCGCCTCTCTGAGTCCGTACTGAGAGCCATGTCTTATCCTGCTGGAGGGAAATACACACAGAAGTCTGCCCTGGGAAAAGGCTTCTACACCAAATGGAAGGTCTTGCTAATTAATACCATCAAAAGCCTGGGGAATAGGTGTGGAAACAGAGTTTGAAAATGCTAGACCAGAAAAGATGGAACGTAATTTCAGACTGGGCTGACTCTCTCCTGTGAGTCTGCCCTGGGGGCGTACTCGGTGTTTCCGGGTGCAGGGTGGTAGCTCAAGCAGGTGGCAGCGATCCTGGTCACTGAAGTGTTGACCGAAACCTGGTCTCAGCTCCAAACCACATGAGGCTGAAATGCCAAAAATCTCTTGGAACAATAGAGAGAAGGGAATCTAAAGAAACAGGCCACATGGAGTGGATTCAGCATCTGCACCCAGCACCGATGTGCATCGTTTCACTGATGTTAATTGAAGAGGGTCGAACGGCCTCTGCCCTGAATCCCGTGTTTCCGGCTACAACAAGGGTGAGGCCTGGGATTTCCTCACCCTCCACTCCCTTCCGCCTTCACTTCCTGTGTCACTCACAGCCAACAGTCAATGCGTGCCCAATCTCAGGAAACCGGGCTGGGGCCTGGGCTTCTGTTGTTTTCAGGGTTGGGTGGCCAGCGCACCCCCAAGCCACCGGGCATTCAGTGTGGCTCCAGGACAGGCCGGAAGGCAAAGCCTGGCCCCTGATTCTCACTTCTTGACTTGTCCCCCCAGATGCCTCTGAGCTTTCGCCCAGCGCTCTGGATCTAAAACCGGTCTCAAGAAAGAAGCAGACACTTGTTCACGTTAAGCTGCAAATGACTGGCCAAGCAAATCCTTACCCCTCCCAAGATCATTATGTAGTCATCCTCACCACAGCCCTGGAAGTGTCATTGATCATCACCCCCATTGTGCAGATAAGAAAACCAGGGTCAAAGGTCAGCATGCCCAAGATCCCATGGAAAATGTCAGGGGGATCCTATGGCTCCCCATCCTCTCCCAGGAAGGTGTGTTTGCTAAGGGGAGAACACCAGCAACTTTATTTTAGATGCAACTTTTTAAAAATTGACTTTAGAGGGAGACAGGAAGGGAGAGAGAGGAGGGGGGAAGAGGGAGAGAGATAGATCAATTTGTTGTTTCATTTATGCATTCGTCAGTTGATTCCTTCATGTGCCCTGACCAGGGATTGAACCCTTACCCTTGGCATATTGGGTGGATGCTCAGGCCAACTGACCCACCCAGACAGGGCTTAGAAAAGTCTTCTTGTAGACTGTCTATGCCTGCATTTTTATTTTTTACCCAAACTGAGAGCCCTTGCTTATAATGGGAAGAATTAAACATTTTCACACAAATTGTGATCACTAATACATTTATTTTACTCCTATGGAACAAAAACTGCCCCATTTCCACTAGTAAGTGAACAGGGTTGGTGGCTTTCCCAAGCCCCTGCACTGAGACTCAGTGGGTCACTGCCACTTCCGAGCCTGAGAGCAGGCTGGCCAGGTGGGCTGCAGTGAGCGCCCCCTGCCCTCCTCTCTGAAGACTGCGGCAGGGGCCGCGCCCCTGCCTCGGGCAGGCTCTTTCCCAACTAACCACAAACAGTGAGCAGTCCTGCCCATAGACGTCATCCCTCGAAATATTCAACTGGTGTTTCTCCACTTCAGAAACTCCTTGTCCACTGACAGAGGCTCAAGTGTCAGCAGTTTTCCTTTTCCTGCAAGCTCTGGTCTAGTCAGTGTGTGGACCTGGAACTCCTCCCAGCCTCTCCGCATGTCTTGTGACGTGTGTGTGTCTGAAGGCCTGACTCCATGGGAGGCCTGGATACTAGAAAGAAGAGCACAGAGGGCCAGAGGGCCAGGCAGGGGGCTCCACCTCCTCATTGAGCTCCAGTCTCCTCATTGTGGAAGTAGCTCACAGAGGCCTCACCTGGTGCTTGGCCCTGCTCACCCCAATCGTTCTCCTCATTAGGCCTCTGCGGTTCCTCCACTGCCTTCCTCAGTCCTCCCCAGGTCATCACAAGGCTGCTTTCTCCTCCTCATTCAGGCCTCAGTAAAAAGGTCACCTCCCCAGAGAAGCCTTCCGTGACTACCTTTTCTCAAGTGTCACTTCCCCCAACCATCTGGTCACTATTTATTGCTTTCCTCAATTTTATTTTTTTAATTTTATTTATTTTTAGAGAGGGGAAAGGAGAGAGAAAGAGGAAGAGAAACATCAGTGTGTAGTTGCCTCTCTTGTGCCTCCTCCTGGGGACATGGCCCGCAACCCAGGCATATGCCCTGACTGGGAATTGAACCAGCAACTCTGGTGCGCAGCCTGCGCTCAGTCCATGAGCTATACCAGCCGGGGCTCCCTTAGTTTTATTTTCTTCAGGACACTCTCACAGGTGAAATCATCTAGTTGGCTTGTTTATCACCCATCTTCCCTGTCTACAGTGTCAGCTTCATAAGAACACGAAGCCTATATAATGTTGATCTGTGTCCTCGGCACCTAATATAGTGCCTAGGATGTGGGAGGTGCCCGAATATACTCGTATATATTCAATGAAGAAGCAAGGCTGTGAGGAGGAGGATTAGCACTCAAAGAAGTTTGGCTAGGTGCCCTTTACCTGCTTGTCTCATTTCACCCTTTCAGCCATTCTCTGCCCGTGAGGTGGGATTCTCACGCCCATTTACCAGATGAGGAAGCTGAGGCTCAAACCCAGACCTCTCTCTCTGACTCCCAAGCTGAGACATAATGTTGACTCAGAGCCCCCAGAAGGTGGCTTTTATAATACACTTATGTTACCCATAAAAGAAGAGGAGCCATAGGCATCTGTGGAAATCGTCACCGACTGTGAGGAATTAAGCTTCAACTGCCACATCATGGAGAAGGGGGTGGGCACGAGAACTGAGGACAGAGAGGCAGGTGACCTGATTTCTAATTCAGGCTCTTCCACGAGCTGGCTGAGGACTCTGGGCAAGCAGGTGGCCTTGCTGAGCCTGGGGGTGTTGGACACCTGGCCTGAGCATCAAATGAAAGTGTAAAGGAGAAAGGGCTTGTAGAAAAAAGAATGTCCCCACACCACTGTCCTTGGCAATTTCCTCTGGGGCAGGAGAGAGCCTGGGAGGGTGTGGGGAACTGGGCCCTTTCACACTTCACCTTTTAGACTACAGCTTCTCAAACTTTCCTGTGTGCAGACCCCTCACCTGGGGATCTCATTAAAGGTGAGGCTTGAGCCCTGGCTCATGTGACTCAGTGGATTGAGTGCTGGCCTGCAAGCCAAGGGGTTACCAGTCCGATTCCCAGCCAGGGCACATGCCTGGGTGGCGGGCCAGGTCCCCAGTGGGGCATGTGAGAGGTAACCACACGCTGGTATTTCTCTCCCTCTCTTCCTCCTTTCTCCTCTCTAAAATAAATAAATAAACTCTTTTAAAAAAGTTAAGAGACTATATATATTCATACTGCTGTGATCTTTTAAAATAAGTAGTATTCATGTATTTCTTGAGTTTTAAGAACAGGTATACTAAGCGGTCATTATTATTCACTAATTATTGGGAATGTGAGTAAATTTGGTATCCAGTACAATGAGTACTTGAGGGCACAGACCTGGGTTGGAATTCCAGCTCCACCACCCAGTAGCTGTGTGAACATGGGCAACTTACTCTGTACTACAGTGTTCCTTGCCTGTAAAATGGGGACAACAGCACCCTGTCACCTCTTCAGGTCATTGTGAGGGTTGAAAGGAGACAATAGGAGATAATGCAAAAGCACTCAGCAATGCAAAGCAGCAGTTACTCTGAATTTGGTCTCTGGGAGATTCTGCAAGTTCCCCTTTGGCCACAGGAGAGAGATGCGACCTGGGGGAGTGACTGCACCCTTCCCCTGCTTGTCCCACTGTCCCCTCAGCTGCTGTCCTCTGCAGGTAAGGTGCAGGTCCAGGGACAGGACATCTGCAGCAGAACAATGTGAAGACAGACATTGTCTCCTTCTAGATAGCTCTTGTCCAGTACAGGGCCGGTGGGCACAGCGCACCCTTTAGCTTTAATTTCGACAGCTCAGCTCTGCTCCCTGTCCCTGGGCAGGCAGAACAGTCTGCTGGCCCTGTTTCTCCCCCACAAGAGGGGCCACAGGGCCTCCTTGTCCACTGGGGACGGCAGACGCAGGGCCTAGGGCCCAGTAGCTTTGTAAGGCCCATGACGTGTCTGAGATCTGAAGAAATGCTTTGGCTCCAAAGTTTGGGGGTAAAGCCATCAAAATTAAGAAATCATTTCAAAAGCAATATTAAATATTAAAAATTTAGTTAAAAACCACATATAATGTAAGAACCTTTTACTGTGATTTGTGACGGTGTGGGGGACTCACAAAAATCATTCCTACAGCCCAGGAAGGCCTTAAACTGGCCAAAAAGTGACTTTGCTTATGGTCAGAGAAAAAAAAGGCAGAAAGACACCTGCCATTTATTTAGCACCTACTGAATGCAAGATGCTGTGCCAAACTCTCTAGCCATGAAACCTCAGGACAATAGAATGAAATACATTCTATTACGGTAACCATTTTGATCATGATTTAAAAAATGATCATGGAGGGAAGGAGTGGGGGGGAAATGGAGACACCTGTACTTGAA